CCGTGCATGCTCCGTTGAAGGCGCCAGAATGTCACAAGACAGAACAGTCAAAGAAGCCAACGGCGCCTTCTCCATGACAACCAGCAGCATGACGATGGAGGTGATGGCAGTGACACAAGCGCTTGCCTGGCTTGAAACACAAAAATACACCCGCGTGTGTATACTCAGTGATTCAATGAGTATGATCCGGAGGGTTCAGGCAGGTTCAGTGCGAAGACAATGGCTTGAATCATTACAGAAATCCACTGTTCGTGGAGTCACCTTTATTTTTGTTCCGGGACACGCAGGCGTCGATGGAAATGAAAGAGCTGACAGGTTGGCTGGATCCGCTATCACTACCGACGGTCAGCCTATGGATCATGCTGATATTATCAATGCCCTCAGAGAAATGGGAAGAATAGAGGACTTTGGTGGCAGTGAATCCACATCACTCGCCAGAATGGCAGACTTGGGAATTAAGATCGGCACAGCAAAAAACGAGACGCACACCAGCTACGCCAGAAGACTTGTTAATCAACATAGAACTGGTACTATTAGCCATCGGACGTTGGGGTTCATACTGAGGGGAGGATCTGAGTACCTATGGACATGTCCGGAGTGCAATGAGGATAACCCAACTAACTAACTAACTAACTAACTAACTAACTAACCCCATGAAAAAAAGATTTCAGAACCTAGCCTTGGGACGGTTAAAAAGAAGCAGCTTTATACATCAAGCAAAAAGAATATGTAGACAAACTGCTGACCTTCCAGAAATTGGTTGTCCACTTAACAGTATTCCAGAACAAACCTCATGGAGAGAGAAATGCAAACTAACAGTACAAATCCAGACAAATGTGAAAGGAAAATTTGACAAGAAAGAACAAGATAGTGTACAACGCAGAATGGCCACCCTCAGTTATATTGATGAAGAATACCCACAAGAACAATGGGTCAGAGTCTATACAGATGGGTCCGCAGAAAGTGTAGTTAGAAATGGTGGTGCTGTAGTGTTTATATGATTCCCAGATGGTACTAGGGTTAAGTCCAGCGTACTAACTGGAAAGTACTGCCATAACTATGATGCAGAAACTCAGGCTATCAAGATAGCAACAGAGAAACTGCTAAATACCAATCTTGGCTCCCAGTATGTGGTAATGCTGACAGATGCAAAATCAGTGCTTGAAGCACTCCAGTCTAGGAAACTACCAGAATTGCAAACACTGCTGACACAACTTAGCCTTCAGCAAAGAGTTGTAATGCAGTGGATACTATCATATTGTGAAGTGCCTGGAAATGAGAAAGCTGATCAACTGGCAGGAGAAGGTGCGACAAAAGTGCAGCCGGATGTACCAGTCACATACCACCAAAAGAAAAGAATCATTAAATCAATCAGGAAACCACCAGCCCCAGCACAAGACGACTATTTTATTTTGAACAGACCAGAACAAGTCATTATCCTCTGCCTCAGAACAGGGCACAACCGATTACGTAACCACATGTACACAAAATTCAAGATAGGCGTATCAGCCATGTGCACCTGTGGAAAGGTGCCCCAGACAGAGGAGCATGTACTCCAGGACTGCACCGAATTTGACACATTAAGGCAAACCTTTTGGCCAGAAAGAACAACAGTGGAACGTAAACTCTATGGACCACTAAATGAATTAACAACAACAGTTAAATTTATACAAGAGACAAAATTGCTGATATAGACAACTTATTTCAGGCGAGCTAAAGCATACCAGAGTAATTTTGGATCTGAAGCTTTTTCATCATCCAAGCTAAGTTTATCCTGTAGATCTTGTGAGGCAGACTTAAGTAAAGATGAGGACATGATTCTATAGGGTAAGTCATTTCAATTGCTATGTAATTTGTGACTCTTTTCATTTGGATGTTTTTAATAGATGTTTTCCCCACGCAAATTTAGATGTTTTTAGATATTTTTTGACTTCGTTTTGGATGTTTTTGTCAAACAAAAGTGGCAACACTGGACACTTCACTTAGTAAAATGGCAGCGCCCAGGCGTTGTTGCTAGCAGAAGGTTTGACAAGGACGAGACAACAAAAAAATGTTTTAGTTCCGAATCTAGGACATAAAATATTGTCAGGTATGAGAAAACAAAAGGCTGTCCTTATACAGCTGTATGCTTGTACTCTGTAATTTTAAGTGCTGTCTTTTAAATGATTTTCATTAATTCAAGGTTGGATTTGGATGGATGGATTCATTTTTATTTCACTATTTGGCTCTCCTGTAAACTACGGCCGGTAGACAACAGTTGACGGCCGGTTAGTCGGAGTTCTATCCCCTGGCTGCAGTGCAAATACGGACTGGAGAAGGCACGAATCAAACAACAAAGTGAGGTCGAAATGCCTGGCAGAACCCACGCTGCGACTCAAGTTAGCGACCGCGTTCAATTACCGCTTCTTGCGACGCATTACGGAGTGGATTAGAGGAAAGGAAATAAGTGACATAATTACTGTGTGTTGGCGATAGACAGCGTGCAGTGCCCTACTGTCATGGTTAGGGTTTGGGTTAGGTTTAGGGTGTGGGTTAGGGTTTGGGTTGCTACGTTGAGTTTCTGCGAAGAAGAGATGCGGCGACACTAACCGCAACGCTAACCCTAACCCAAACCCAATCCCTAACCCCAACCGTAACCGTATGATTATAGAATGGCAGTGCACGCTGTCTATCGCCAACACACAGTAATTGTGTCAATTGTTTCATTCCCTCCCTTTCCACTCAGTAATTGCACTGTAGCCACGGGACAGAACTCCAACTAACAGGCCGTCTACTGTTGTCTACCAGCCGTAGTTGACAGGAGAGCCCACTATTTTTTATTTTTTCTCCAAGGATAGATTTTGAATTTTGTTTTGCAGTCTGTAGCTTATTATTAATATTTAATATACAAAGGATGATAATCAAACAGCTACAGATCAGAGTTCAGCCGTTGGGCGTGCTGCTAGCCATTCTACGGAGGAAGATCTGAGCCAAATGAGACAGGTGCAATGAAGTCAGTCCTCTCGACTTTAGCTAAAAAAAAGTAAAGAACCCTTTTCCAGGCCTTTAGGCGTATTTTACTATTTTGGGTATATAGGGCTAGACCTCTAGGCTATCCTCCGAATAACGGGCACAAAATACGGCGGCCAAAACAGGGCCTCAGTCACGTGTCAGTTGTGCACTTCCGGCGACCTAATTTGCGAGCAAAGCTGCAGGAGATGCGGAAGCTGCTGCTTGTTAGTCCCAGCCACGTGGGGAATACTCTCGGCGGTGGCGGTAGTCGCTGGAAAACCGCAAATTAAGTCGCCGGTAGTGCGCAATTGACACGTGACTGAGGCTCTGTTAGGGTGTTATTGGGGCCGCCATCTTTTGTGCCCGTTGCTCGGAGGATAGCCGACCTCTATTTTATAGATGAAACGACACTTGGTGGCTGATGTCAGCATCACGCCGGCCGCTTTTACTTCCCAGGACGGTACCTGGTACCCACTCAAGGCTGGATCGTACTGGGAGCCAAGGTCATTTGTGAAAAAAAGTCCGGCCCGTAACAGAAACCGAACCGACCTTTGGATCCACAGGCGAGTGTCTAGCCGCTAGACTGTGGTGGCTCCCTAACCTAAACTTTTGAACATTAGGTTTAACAATGAACAATGGAATGAAGCAGTTTTTGGTTAGGTATACAGTACACACACAAACACAAGTGTCAGTGTGAGGAAATAATTTTTTGACAAATAATAAGAAGAAATACATTATAACAACACACAGACTCGTTACAAAAACATGCATACCATTACAGCAGACATCTTGCAAGGCTCGCTGGCCGCTAATAATTGATTTTGTTCATTTATATTAGGGCACCACAAAACAGTTACATAGTAACCTGTAGCCCAATGTGGGTGGGTGCAGTTGCTTTTGAGCAAGATATTTAAGTCAGTTGGTTAAGTTAAATTTAAATTGTCAAGTTAGTTTAATTTATCTGTACAGGGTACAGTAAAAAAAAAAACTGTTTTTCAGGATAATCTGGACGATTTAACCTATTCTGTAGCTGTATCACTAGGTGGATCTAATGACTTATGTATATTATATGAAAAATTTTCCTCCGAAGTCGGAGTACATCTGCCGGAGAGGCGGGGAACGAGTACTGCAAACAAATAAGCCAGTAAAACGGATGTACACGCAAAACTCAGGTCAAGGTAAAAGCCAAAAGTCCATTTTGGATGAACAACCGTGACTTACCGCCGGAATTCACAGCCAGTGAACAAGAAGAAGAAGAAAATGAAAAATTGTAGAAAAAGAAACAATACATTTTTTTAATGTACCTGAAAATGTGGCTAGTTTTTTAAATGACAGTAAAATGTAAAACAACCAAAGCTGGACTGATGTTCTGTCTGTGCTGGTTTCAAGTTTCAACTTGTCAGTTATTTTCTATGTGCACACACCGGGTCTTCCTAACATCCCCCCCCCCCTTTCCCCCAATTAAAGACTGATCAAGAATAATACTAACTGATATTTTCTGTCATATTTATGTCTATGGCATAGGCGTTGTGAATTAGCTTCATAATTTCCAAGGTCTCAGGCTCCAACCCTGCTTGTTGACAGCAGATCCCCCTATGTTTGTTACCAGAGTAGTATCAAGAGTGGACCTTTAAGATAGCAATGGCATACTACTGCCTAGTGAAAACACAGCCAGAACATACTGGGGTTAGTTCTACCTCTGCTGTACAGAATATGCAACTAACTTCATTTTTTAATTCATATTTCTGTCTCACACTTGCCATCCTGTTATTAGTTTCAGATGAATTTTTTTTTAAATCTTGGAAATCACTGTGATTTTCACAAATCATTTGCCATTGTCTTTCTTCATAATGTCTGTGTGTATGCGCATGCATGTGCGTGTGAGAGAGAGAGGAAGGGGGAGAGAGAGAATATAATATAGGAGCTGTAACAGAAAGTAACTTTATTCCTAAATAAAATAATACCACACTGACATGATTTTCTCCATTTAAACATCTTTTCAGAAAGTGATGAACATGACAAGTATGGCTGGATTTGTCACTCGGCCGTTTTCTCAGTTTGGTTTTCCACACAGGAACATTAAGCGGACTACATTGTCTCAATGCCTGATCAGTTTGCATCATTCTTTCATCCATTCTCGTTGTCATAATGAAATGACAAGTGATCATATCTCAGGGATTGATGCAAACAATGTTTCTACAAACACCTGCAGTCCAGAGAATCCACAGACTTCCATTGAAGCAGATCATTCTGAGGACGTGGAGAGACTTGTTGGAAACACACCTGGTATAAAACATAGCATTGTTTAACAGTTCTACCCTTGTAACTTTTCTTTTAAACACACTGATGTTACCATTCTATGTATGCAAGTTTAATTGTTTTAATTGTTCTTTTTATATACAGTCTAACTTTTCTGTGCAGTCAAACTATTCTTTTTAAACAGTTTAACCTTTTTTCTTTTTCTTGATTCCCAAACTGTGCGCCCCGGGCAGCCGTGACCTCATGAGGGGAGCGCCGCAAAATATTTTTGATTCAATGATTTCAGAAAATTTGCAGTGGTTTACAGGATCATACAGCACATTAATTGTTAATTTAATGGTAATAAAGAAAAACAATAACAAAGATACACAAGTTTTATTTGTTTTTTTCTCTTACTTACGAATAGTCATAATTTTAATTAGGTTCGGGCACCATGAAAATTTTTTTTTGAAAAAAGGCACAGTGACTAAGAAAAGTTTTGGAAACACTGCATTATAACTTTTCTCCCATTACGTATGGTCTAATCATATAATTTTTCTCCCCTCATATTTTCCTGTGATATCTACAGCCTAATCCTTCTCTTGTTTATACAGTATAACATATCACCCAACATATGTTCAAGTTTCTTGGTGTAGGAAACACGGAGACGTGTCCCTCCAGCTTGGCACCTGAAAATGTTGAGCATGTGCTCCAGCAATGTAAACGGTACGATGCTAACAGAGAAGCAATCTGGCCTGTTCCAATCTCAATCAAAACAGTTTTATGGGCAGATTTGGACTGTATGATAGCTGTGGTCAAGGCTGCAGGTTTTCTGATATGTTTTATAAATGAAGGATCGAAGAAGAACAGATTTGTTCCCTTGTGTAGTCTAATCTTTCTCTCCTTTATAAATCTAAACTCTGTTCAGTGTGTACATCGTTCTTTCCCTTGCATGTCATCTTTCTTTCCTGTACACACATTCTAATCGACTACTTCCATCAGTGACAAACTGCATTTCTGGTGGCGACTGTTGGCTTTGGTGCCTCTTGCAACTGCTTTATGCATTTGCTGTGGACACATATTCCAGATTGTACCGGCAGTGTTTGTTTGTTTACCAGTTTTTTAAATGAACAGTGACTGGCATTTCTTTTTGATTTCCACTGCACAGGAACAGAGCATGTATAGGGTGACCTGTTTGCTGTGCCGATATCTGTCGCATGCACCTATTCTGAGAGACAAGGATCCTACCTTCTGTCAGTCCCTGACTATTTCTGTCTCTCTGCAGAATCACAGCAGTTCCGAACGCATCTGAAGCCAGATTCTCCCCCAGGCTCTAGGCTGCTGCGAGTGGCAGTCATCGGTCGACCCAACTGTGGCAAGTCAACACTAACTAACGCTCTCATGGGTTGGAGGGTAAGACTTACTCTAGAGTTTTGTCGTCATGTCGTTGTTATAACTGAAAAATGGATTCAGGACCTGTAGCTTATTCCTCGCATGTGGGTTTTGGCATCCCACTTTGGGGCGAAAAAATGGACATATGCCTTTTAATAAGCTTATAGGGAAAGGCGACTAAATAAGGGTTTGCTGAACTCAGATGTGTTGGGTTGAAATGTGTGGATATCGCTGCCGAGCTGTCAACTGCCTTTTAAAATTGAACACAGGGGAAGAAATAGTAGTAGATTGCATATACTGTACTGCATGATGATGTGAGTAACACATTTGTATCTGGATGATGCTTGTGCCAAAAGTAGTTTCAGGGAAGTGTTTATTTGGCGTAGGGCTTATATGTCGAACATCCTGAACAAATCATGCTAGGGTTGGTTTTTATGTTAGCTCTTATTTTGAGAGAAATGCTGTAGTTGTATATTCAAGTTTACCATGGATTCCAGTGTCCCGCTGTGGGGAAAACAAGAATAGACCCACTGACTCCCCAACAAGCATGTCATAGGAGTCGACTAATTGAAGGCTTCCTTCGGAGTCAGAGTACATCTGCCTGAGGGGCAAGAAACAACCAGCTGCACGCAAATAAGCCAGTAAAACAGATTCCGACTCATGAGCCAGCATACCGCGATCGAAACCCACTGCAGGCTGCGTGGATTTCTGTCGTGGTGTGGGACGTCGCAGGTCGACCCAGCCTAAAATGGGTACCAGGCTGGGCTGTCCTGGGAAAGTAAAGACAGCCGGCGTAATGCTGACCACGTTACCCACAGAGTGCTGATGGTCTGTAAAAATTTGGGACGCTCTGCCCATATGCCCGATGCGCCAAAAGGCGTGAAAAGGGATCTTTACTTTTCTTTACTTTTACACTCAAAACTCAGGCCCTGGCACAAAGCCAGAGTCTAAATAGACAAACAACCAGGGCTTTCTGCTTGAGCTTACATCGGATGAACAAAGAAGATGAAAAGTATGTTGAAGAATACTTGTATAGTTGACTTGTGTGTACAGATTGCTGTTGTTGATTTGCCAGCTTTTTTTATGATTGTTTTCGTTGCCAGGTGACCTCTGTCTCAGAGAAAGTTCACACCACACGAAAGAACACATTGGCTGTGTTTACAGAAGATGAAACCCAAGTGGTGAGTTCTTCCTTGTTTACACATGGAATTTGTTATCTTGAATCGTGTCTGCTTGTTTTCTTGAAGAGATATACTTCTTCATATCATTCACTGGCTGTAAACTCTGGCGGAAAGTTCCGGTTGTCTTGTTCCAGAACTTGAGTTTTGTGTTCGCATCCATATTACAGATCTGGATTAGTTTTATGCAGACTGTTGGTTCCTTGTCTCTCAGGCAGATGCTTTTTACCCGCTTGTTAGGGGAACAGTGGGTCTGTTATTTTCCCCCGCGAACAGGGTCCAAGAACCCACACTGGGGAAAGATATTCTATAATTTGTCTCCATTCAGGGATATCCAGTATATGAATCCAGTCATGAAAACACATGGAGTCACCAACTGGACAGAGAAAGGCAGTCACAGGGATGATTATTGGCGGATGATTTCCGCATTAGTCTTCTTCTTTCTTCTTCGCTTTCACTGGCTGTTAACTTAGGTGGAAAGTTCTGGTTGTTCGTCCATCTCCGGACTTTAGTCTTGTTCTGAACCTGAGCATTGCGTGCACATCTGTTTTACAGATCTCGCCTATTTGTAAGCAGATTGTTGGTTCCTTGTCTCTGAGGCACATGCACTCCGACTTTGAAAGAAGCTCCTAATTAGTCGACTCTTATGTAATGATTGTTGGGTAGGCAGTGGGTCTATTCTTGTTTTCCCTACAATGGGACCCTGGAACCCACACGGGGAATCTGCAAACCTCAAGAGCTTGGGATGCTGATTGTGAGGAAGAAAATGACAGCAGTCATCTCAAAATGGATGTAGTATATCTTTTGTCTCCAATCATAGCTGTTGTTGTTTGTCCATCACAAGTGATGATGACCAGTCCTCTTATCCGCTCGTGACTGGATGAGGTTTTGGGAGTGGGCAGATGGCTGATAAGGCCAATTCTAGCACTGAAAGTTCTTGAGCAATGTGGACAGGGAATAGAAGCCGCATCTCTCTGGTGATTTGCTTCAGTGTCTTTCCTGGCTTGTCTGTTCTCAATTGCTGCTGCAGTTATAGCAGCTTTGTGGGCCACAGCTCCTCGATGAAGAGAGGAGCGCCAAGATGTGCTGTCACATGCAACAACTTACCAGGTTTTAGGATCAATACAGAAGTCTTTCAGTGAGGTCTTGAGGCTGTCCTTGAAATGTTTCTTCTGTACACCTTGAGAGCATTTTTCTTTTAGTAGCTCACCATAGAAAATTCTTCAGTCATAGCTGAAGGGCCGTCTGCAGTCATTCATAGCAATGCCTGCACCAGGTGGGAACAGTCACAGAATACAGAGTAATGACCTATGAAAAGAATTACACACAATTACATATAATCTTTAAGTGAAGTTGCAATCACTTGCACATAACCATTGAGTGAAGTTGCATACATTTGCACTTAACTATTTGAGGAAAGTTGCATACCGCATATATTTACATGTCAGATCCAGCTGTTTTTGTTTTTATTTAGGTCTTCCTGGACACCCCTGGTATCCTGCACCCTGGCAGCAGAAAGAAGTAAGTATAATACACTACACACATGATACATCACACACATGATACACCACACACATGATAGACCACACACATGGCACACCACACACATGGTACTTGGCACACCACTCACATGACAGACCACGCACATGCCACACCCCACACATGACACACCACACGCATGACAGACCACACAAATGGCACACCACACACATGGCACTCAGGCTTGGGTTAGAAGTAGCACGGAGCATTTATGGGTTACATCCATGTGCCGTGATGTTGATCCATTGAATAAACATAAACATGTTATACCACATTGTTATTTTCCGTGTCCATGTTATACAACATTGTTATTTGACCATGTCTGTGTTATAAAGCATTATTATTTTACCATATCAGTGTTATACAACATTCTTTTTTGACCGTATCGGTGTTATACAACAATGTTATTTGACCGTGTTGGTGTTATGCAACATTGTTATTTGACCATATCAGTGTTATGCAACATTGTTATTTGACCATATTAGTGTTATGCAACATTGTTATTTGACCATGTCGGTGTTATGCAACATTGTTATTTGACCATATCGATGTTATACAACATTGTTATTTGACCATATTGGTGTTATACAACATTGTTATTTGACCATATCAGTGTTATACAACATTGTTATTTTACCATGTCAGTGTTATACAACATTGTTATCTGACCATATCAGTGTTATGCAACATTGTTATTTGACCATGTCGGTGTTATACAACATTGTTATTTGACCATGTCAGTGTTACACAACATTGTTATCTGACCATGTCGGTGCTATACCACATTGTTATTTTACCATGTCAGTGTTATACCACATTGTTATTTGACATTGTCCATGCTATACCACATTGTTATTTGACCCTGTCCATGCGATACCACATTGTTATTTGACCCTGTCCCTGTTATACCCCATTGTTATTTGACCTTGTCTGTGCTGTACTACATTGTTTTTTGACTGTGTCTGTGCTGTACTACACTGTTATTGACTTATTTCCCTACTTGTTTGCAGACACCATCTGGAGAAGACCCTAGAGATTGACCCAGTGAGGAGTCTGGCTTCTGCAGATTTAGGTCAGTGTAATATCTTTTGTTTGCCTAAAGTACTATCCATGGACACACAGATGAGTGAAGAGAGAGACCACACAGATGAGTGAAGAGAGAGACCACACAGATGAGTGAAGAGAGAGACCACACAGATGAGTGAAGAGAGAGACCACACAGATGAGTGAAGAGAGAGACCACACAGATGAGTGAAGAGAGAGACCACACAGATGAGTGAAGAGAGAGACCACACAGATGAGTGAAGAGAGAGACCACATAGATGAGTGAAGAAGCCATATAGATGAGTGAAGAGAGAGACCACACAGATGAGTGAAGAGAGAGACCACACAGATGAGTGAAGAGAGAGACCACACAGATGAGTGAAGAGAGAGACCACACAGATGAGTGAAGAGAGAGACCACACAGATGAGTGAAGAGAGAGACCACACAGATGAGTGAAGAGAGAGACCAAATAGATGAGTGAAGAGAGAGACCAAATAGATGAGTGAAGAGAGAGACCACATAGATGAGTGAAGAAGCCATATAGATGAGTGAAGAGAGAGACCACACAGATGAGTGAAGAGAGAGACCACACAGATGAGTAAAGAGAGAGACCACACAGATGAGTGAAGAGAGAGACCACACAGATGAGTGAAGAGAGAGACCACACAGATGAGTGAAGAAGCCATATAGATGAGTGAAGAGAGAGACCACACAGATGAGTGAAGAGAGAGACCACACAGATGAGTGAAGAGAGAGACCACACAGATGAGTGAAGAGAGAGACCACCCAAATGAGTGAAGAGAGAGACCACACAGATGAGTGAAGAAAGAGACCACACAGATGAGTGAAGAGAGAGACCACACAGATGAGTGAAGAGAGAGACCACACAGATGAGTGAAGAGAGAGACCACACAAATGAGTGAAGAGAGAGACCACACAAATGAGTGAAGAGAGAGACCACACAAATGAGTGAAGAGAGAGACCACACAGATGAGTGAAGAGAGAGACCACACAGATGAGTGAAGAAAGAGACCACACAGATGAGTGAAGAGAGAGACCACACAGATTGGATGAAGAGAGAGACCACACAGATGAGTGAAGAGAGAGACCACACAGATGAGTGAAGAGAGAGACCACACAGATGAGTGAAGAGAGAGACCAAATAGATGAGTGAAGAGAGAGACCACATAGATGAGTGAAGAAGCCATATAGATGAGTGAAGAGAGAGACCACACAGATGAGTGAAGAGAGAGACCACACAGATGAGTGAAGAGAGAGACCACACAGATGAGTGAAGAGAGAGACCACACAGATGAGTGAAGAGAGAGACCACACAGATGAAGAGAGAGAACAGAGAGTGAGAGACCACACAGATGAGTGAAGAGAGAGACCAAATAGATGAGTGAAGAGAGAGACCACACAGATGAGTGAAGAGAGAGACCACACAGATGAGTGAAGAGAGAGACCAAATAGATGAGTGAAGAGAGAGTGAGAGACCACATAGATGAGTGAAGAGAGAGCCATATAGATGAGTGAAGAGAGGAAGAGAGAGACCACACAGATGAGTGAAGAGAGAGAGACCACACAGATGAGTGAAGAGAGAGACCACACAGATGAGTGAAGAGAGAGACCACACAGATGAGTGAAGAGAGAGACCACACAGATGAGTGAAGAGAGAGACCACACAGATGAGTGAAGAGAGAGACCACACAGATGAGTGAAGAGAGAGACCACACAGATGAGTGAAGAAGCCATATAGATGAGTGAAGAGAGAGACCACACAGATGAGTGAAGAGAGAGACCACACAGATGAGTGAAGAGAGAGACCACATAGATGAGTGAAGAGAGAGAGACCACACAGATGAGTGAAGAGAGAGACCACACAGATGAGTGAAGAGAGAGACCACACAGGTGAGTGAAGAGAGAGACCAAATAGATGAGTGAAGAGAGAGACCAAATAGATGAGTGAAGAGAGAGACCACACAGATGAGTGAAGAGAGAGACCACACAGATGAGTGAAGAGAGAGACCAAATAGATGAGTGAAGAGAGAGACCACATAGATGAGTGAAGAAGCCATATAGATGAGTGAAGAGAGAGACCACACAGATGAGTGAAGAAGCCATATAGATGAGTGAAGAGACCATATAGAAGAGTGAAGAGACCACACAGGTGCTTGTAGAATCACTAAAAATTACTCATGTACTCATGGTGGTACACAAATAAGTACTGAGAAATTACATAAACTATTGTAGTTCCTAGTACTTTAATGTTTTCAGTGGTAGCCATCTCCAACACTTTTATGTTTTCAGTGGTAGCAATCTCCAACACTTTTATGTTTTCACTGCTAGCAACCTACAACACTTTCATGTTTTCACTGCTAGCAACCTACAGCACTTTCATGTTTTCAATAGCAGCAATTTCCAACACTTTCATATTTTCAATAGAAGCAGTTTCCAACACTTTTATGTTTTCAGTGGTTGCAATGGTGGACGCATCCAACACATTTATGATACAAGCTTTGGATCAGAATCTCATGGAGATGCTGTACCTGTACCGGCACATTCCTTCAGTACTGGCTCTAAACAAGGTGAGAAACTGTAGCCCTAGAACATCTTTTTCTTAAGGTTCTGATACTGTTCCTTTAGCTACATCACTAGCACATCTCCATCATTTGTGTTCTTCTACTCTACCTGCAGTCACCACACCACATCTCTGTCCCAATGTTCTTCTGCTTTACCTATAGTCACCACATCTCTGTCCTAATGTTCTTCTGCTCTACCTATAGTCACCACACTAACACATCTCTGTCCTAATGGTCTACTGCTCTATCTGTAGTAACCACACATCTCTGTCATAATGTTCTTCTGCTCTACCTATTAGTCACCACACCAGTACATCTCTGTCATAATGTTCTTCTGCTCTACCTATAGTCACCATACCAACACATCTCTGTCCTAATGTTCTACTGCTCTATCTGTAGTAACCACACATCTCTGTCATAATGTTCTTCTGCTCTACCTATTAGTCACCACACCAGTACATCTCTGTCATAATGTTCTTCTGCTCTACCTATAGTCACCATACCAACACATCTCTGTCCTAATGTTCTACTGCTCTACCTGTAGTCAACCCACCAGTACATCTCTGTCATAATGTTCTTCTGCTCTACCTATAGTCACCATACCAACACATCTCTGTCCTAATGTTCTACTGCTCTACCTGTAGTCAACCCACCAGTACATCTCTGTCAAAATGTTCTACTGCTCTACCTATAGTCACCACACCAACACATCTCTGTCCTAATGTTTCTCTGCTCTGCCTGTAGTCAACCAACCAGTACATCTCTGTCCTAATATTCTTCTGCTGTGCCTGTAGTCACCCCACCAGTACATCTCTGTCCTAATGTTTCTCTGCTCTGCCTGTAGTCAACCCACATCTGTGTTCTAATATGTGTAACCACATGTGTATATGCTGGTTTATCATGCATTGATAAGAAGATAGTGGAAGGGTAGAAAAAACAAATGAGTCAGTCCTCCTGGAGACAGTTGAAAGTCATCAGCTAGTTAGGGGAATCACATGCAACCATGTTGTGAGAAGGATTGAATTCGAGAACTTGAAAACGACTGGCAAGATTATTGGAAAGATTCAGGGGAAGGCAAAGGGATGTTGGCTTGACCACGTGGATGGGGGCAAGTTGTCAACACGGACCTGATTGATGATTCTGGGGATGGCACGGAATGGTGAAACATGAAAGACTATGCTTATTGGCATGGAACATGATGATGATGATATCACACAGGTCATTTTGGTCACATATGTGTGCTCGTACATCACGCAGGTCAATTTAGTCACGTATGTTTGCTCGTATATCACACAGGTCAATTTGGTCATGTATGTGTGCTCGTATGTCATGCAGGTCGATTTGATCAAACAGAAGGCAGCCCTCCTGCAAACCGTTCGTTTGCTGACAGATGGCGTTGTTGATGGCCATCGCCTGGACCATGACATCAGCACGAAGAAGGTGACGGTGAAAGAGCGCATGTTTGCTGCAGCAGATAAAGCTCTCAAACAAACCAGTGTCCGAGATCCGAGTGAAGAGCAGATTTCGATGACATGGACAAGTAGAACTGAGAAGGCAGGTGAGTTATGGCTGAATGTATGTCTGTGCAGAGAGAAGGGATAGGGCTGTAGTCTGTTAACCTTTTGCTGTGCAAGATTCTTTTTAAAAAAAAACTTTTTTCCTCCTTCATATTTAATTTTTTTTAAATGCATCCTTATAAGTACCTGAAACTAGAAGAAGAGGGGAAAAAGCAGCAGTAATTTGGAGTCTCGGTCAATTTTTATAAATATCGAGGGGGTTAATATTTTGCCAGCCAGCAATCCAGTGCATTACTGTCTCCTATTACCCATGTTGTTTGGAGATTTTTCAAGAATAATTATTTTTCTAATAAAATACATTTAAAAAAAATAAGCGTAGGGTTTTGAAATCTTCAAAGCACCATTTGCTACACATGAAAATATATATATATTATGCAAATATGTCACGTGATCCTGATAGGCATCTTGAATTTGTTGGTTATTTATAGAAATTTTATGAGATGTTTTAAAACCATCATCCTTTTCCAGATTTTAGTGAATTTGTTCAATGTCACTACAATAAAATGTTAAGGACATGGTTGGCGATGAATAAAATAGGCTCGGCAGGAGCACTCATTTAACGACTGACCAAATATTTCAACAATAAAAGCTAATAAAATTGTAAATAAAGTGAAAACTTTTTGTTTATTGTGTTAATTTGGCATGTTACAATGAGTATTTCTGGATGCTTGATTATAAAAACGCCTCTAGTTGAAGTCTGGGCTACTTCCTTCGTTAAGTGGTGTTGAAGCTGTAGCTGTAGCCATCTGTCTTTGTCGGGAAATGTTGAGAATCCTCAACTGTTGGGTAGAGCTTGAAACGGTGTCAAGCGTAAAGGTGTATTGCAATCTGGGCAGTACCTGCAAGTCTGTGTTCTTTTACCTGCAGCCTTGCACACTTTACTGTCTGGTTTCTACCTGGTTTCTACCTTAGCTTCTTTTTTTTTTTTTTTTTTTTTTTTTCATCGAACACCGGCTGTGAATTCCAGTGGAAGGTCAGGTAATCGTCCGCTTGGACTTTTGGCTTTCACCTGGACCTGATTTTTGCGTGTACAACGTTTTTTATTTCCCTGCCTCATGGGCAGCTGTACGCCGACTTCGAAGGAAGACGTCAGGCCTATTTCTAGGGTGACTGTGGCCATTGTTTTGTGTGGGTCGAGACGTTGCCTGATTTGTGTGGTGTCCACTTCGTCTCCTTTGCCGCAGGTATTGCCCCCGGAGTACCCCTTTGGGTCGGCCCCCTGTGGAACAGTTAGCCCTCAAGGGAAGGCAGGAGCAGATCTTGGGCATTCCCCGCCATCCAAGGAGGCATCCATGTATGCAGAGCCGACACATGGCGCTCTGGTTCTGGGCTCACCCAAGGAATCGTCACGTCCTGCACAAGCCTGCTTAACCTCACAACCGTATCAGGCTTCCCGCTCGACAAGGGCTGCGCCCTCTGGGGGTCAGGCAGCCCGCGGGTTTTGGGACTTTTGTAACCACACAGATAGGTACATTCTTTTTTTCCTCGCACGTTAGATTTCTTTGACGAGCCGTTAGCCCGACAGATTTTACATCCTGCATCAGGCATATCGTTATCAGTTTTGTCCCAACACTCGGGCGAGTGGTGTCCTTGGGTGTGGACATTCGGTCTTTTTCAGTTCAATTCTAATTTTGAGGTCAGATTTTGATCCGTATGATCTAGTTTTGTCGGAAATTTAGGCTTAGCCATCCGATCGATGGATGGTTGCTTTTGTGGTGTACCACAGCGCGGTGACGACGACACTGAGGGTTTACCAAGGACATGAATGGCCAGCCTATGGATGGTCGCTGTTGTGGTGTACCCCAGCGCGGTGACGACGACACTGAGGGTTAACCAAGGATGTACATGAATGGCCAGCCTATGGATGGTTGCTGTTGTGGTGTACCCCAGCGCGGTGACGACGACACTGAGGGTTAACCGAGGATGTACATGAATGGCCAGCCTATGGATGGTTTCTGTTGTGGTGTACCCCAGCGCGGTGACGACGACACTGAGGGTTAACAGAGGATGTGCAGTGAACAATGTTCTCTTTATTCCGCAGTCTTTAACCAAGGGTTGTAATTTTGGCTGTACGTTTGGCAGACCTGCTCATGTTCCTAATGAGTTTTGATAACAATTTTTTTCACCCAAGCGTTTGGGGGCGGGCTGATGAGAGCCACAAGGACACATCACCTCTGGGGGCCGCCAAACTCCGAGATCCCCTGGCAGCTCTGTTAATGCTCATTTGAGACATTATCCGTGGCGCACGACGAGGACGTGCTGCCGGGGTCTTGCGTGAGGTTCCGTACAACCAGGATATTAAAGGACTGGCGCCCGAGTGACGTACGGAGTATCTCCTTATACACATCATGTTGGACTTAACTTCCCCTCACGCCTGTGACATAAATCACCGCGCCACTTAACCTTAGCTTCTAATATTTTTCTATGAAATAGGGCTCAATAAGTCGTGATGTTGTGACTTGTGGTCTTGAAGATGTTATTCTGTTCCGAAGAACAGCCGGTCCGATAACAGCAAGACTGACATCCTGCCTGAACTTCTTTGCTGTGATTTTATTCATAGAGTTGGCAGAGTTGTAGCTTATATGCCCATTGACCACAGCAGTTTCAACTATTAAAAATATATGTGTGTGTATATATATATATATATATATTTATATAGAATGGCTGGTACCATTTATAGGATCTATGTGAATAGGGGTAGCATGCATCCAGCTGGCTAAAGTGATCAACACTCCCCCAAATCCACTCCCTCCCCCATACTTTTGTTGTATTTTTCAGCAAGAACTGGCTTGTTTATTATTCTGCACTCAGGAATGTTTTCTAACTGTCTTGTTAATAACATCATTGGAGTAACCAGTAGTTATCAGGTTAACTCTCTTAGTGTCATGTCAGGTAATTGCCAACCTGCCTTTTATCTTGTGTCACATAAAACAGGATGATCTGCCTTTCTTTATTTTCAGCTGCTTTTTCTTCACACAAAAAGCAATTGGCATACACCCAATTGTGTCTGACATGGCACCTTGTTGTTCTTTGTATGGAAGAAGAACGTCAAGCTCAACAAGGTCATTTTGAGCAGCCTTTCTACATTTCCAGACAGCATTTTCAGCTGTCAAAATGTTCTGGTCTCTTGTGCCACACCCACTTATTTCTTTGAATGTACCCGCATCACCTTCATCATCAGGTATATCATCGTTGTCGCTACTTTCAGTTGCGATGTGATGATAACATTCACTGGTATATCTCTACTTAGCCAGGAATGATTTATTGCTTTCAAATCACTGGCAGATTCAGAACCGTCAGTACTACAACTCTGATTTTCGTCATCAGACATAATAAAAAAAGGCTGGAATGCACTTGTAACAAAATTTCACTGAAAACAATGCTTTTGAATGTGCTCAAAACAATACTAATCATAGGCAATCTTGGAATAATAAAATTATCCGGATGAAGCTCAGTTCGAAAACTATCAGTAAGGTTGTATGTTCGCATTCTACGTGTCTCTAATTCAACGATCGTTGAATCTGGTCACCAAGGGATATGACAGCAAATTTCACCATTTTTAAACATTGACATATATTTTTTTTTTACCTCATATAAAACAAGAGTTTTATGAATGTAATCTTATGCAGCTTGTCTACACACTATGCAGTTGCAGCCAGTACTACATTCCATCACCTTGTATGATTATAAGAGCTGTGTAAGTGAATGCCTACATTGAGGTGTTTGTCAGACAAACACACATTTCTGAAATGAACAGAATCATTCACATCTGCCAATGATATGTTCTATGTCCATCTCTCAGCAATACCAGAAAATCTGCTAGTCCCTGATGAGAATACATTGAGAAGCCAAGAGCTGTCGTGGGAAGAGTACTTCAACAAGCGTCGCTCAGCTAGTCAGGTCGTAAAGGACATGCGTGGATGGCCATTGTTTAAAGAAGTCTTTGTCTTGTCTGCTCTGAGAGGGGAGGGTGTCCGAAACTTGAAGGTAGGAGCACCATTTTCTGTTGGATCATAGACCTGTTTTTGTGTTTGTAAATGCATGCCATTCTAAAGAAACACTTAATGCACTTTTTGCTAATCTGTCGTCTCTCGGTCTGCTTCGGTGGCCTGACTGTTCTAGGATCAGTTGGTTAGAGATCACAACATATACTCACACATCGTAATTGTAACTGACTCAGAAAGCATGCTGAGGAAGGTCAGGTTAGGCATGCTTCGTGCAGAGTGGCCTGCTTCACTGCAGATGACACAGTGTGTTGGGAAATGAACAGTCGGACAGACTGGCTGGCTCTGCACAACTTAGTGGAATATTGATGCATGATAGGGCAGACGTGGTTAGTGCCTGATGGGAGAGAGTGTACAGTTCGGAGGAGCAGATGGATCACCACAGTCTGGTGAGATTGATACAGGGGGAAGTGACAAGAGGTTCTGGCAGATGCTCGAGGCTCAGAGGAAAAGCAAGACGGACGTTTAATCAGAATGCTACTGGCACCATTACAATCGCAACTCTTTGTTGGCTGCTGAAGATGGGGACAGATCGCTTTTGGGAAATGCCCCGAGTACTGTGATTTCGGTTCTTGAATCAACTCAGCTCAGTCAGGATCAGTTATTGCCAGCATTGCATCCCTCTTGTTTTATTCTTGCTGCTTAGCATCTCAGAACAGCTTCATGTTTTCAAACATCAACTGTTTATTTGTCACACAACTCTCATTGACACAGACCAACTGTCACTTCTCTTTTTTTTTCACACACCAAACTGTTTGTCATTTAATGATGTTCTCACTATCACAGACTGACTCTCTCTTCTTTTTGTGTGTCACAGACTGGCTCTCTTACTGTCACACAACTGTCAGTCAACATTTTTCTCGCTGTCACAGAGCAGCAGTCTCCTTGTCACACACATCAGCTTCATCATTATCTCAGATGCTATCTCTCATTGTCACAAGCCAGTTTCATCATCTCTCATTGTCACACATCAGCTTCATCTCAGACACTGTCTCTCATTGTCACACATTTAACTTTTTAGCCACAAACTAGCTAATTCTTTTAAATCCCAGTTAGATTGTCGGTTGGAAGGTTTCTATGTGAACCAATCTTTGCATGATTATCAACACAGTTAGGCAGTTGCAAGTTTTCTGCCTGAACCAATCATTTGCATGGTTATCAAGACAGTTGAGTGGTTGAAAGTTTTCTGTCTGAACCAGTCATTTGCATGGTTATCAAGACAGTTGAGTGATTGAAAGTTTTCTGTCTGAACCAGTCATTCGCGTCATTGTCAACTTTGTTCCAAAGCTGTGTGGTCATTGGCAAGACATCAGCAGCTGTTGAAACAAAATATATATAGCTTAATCAAGAACCAAGTGAAAAATTTTTTAAATTCTAATGTTATTTCAGTTTTAAAACATGCCAGTGAATGTTGTAAAACCACTAGAGGTACGGAACGAAGGTTGAATGCATTCGTAAACAAACGCCTGAGGAAAATGAGGAAGATAGATTTGGGTGGGTTCAGGAGGAGTGAAGAAATGGAGAAATGTCTGGGCAGCCACTAGGATCATCAGTTATAAGACAGAAAAGATGGCGCTAAATTGGATCCATTCTGAGAAGAGATGACCAGAGAAACATCAAACAGGCACTGGAATGGGAAATAGAAGGATTTAAGAAACAAAGACATCCTAGAGAAACTCTGGAATGAATGAACATTGATGAGAGAGGCCAAGGGTGATAGATGAGTCCATCCATGATATACAAGTGATTGCACAGGGTAGAAGGCAATGGAGTAATAGTGTGCTCATGTGATTGATGTAAAACTTTATTTTGGAGACAGAATTACTTGCTGCAGTGTGCCCGACCTGCCAGGTGGGACTACCACAGCAGCCTAGTTACTGACCAGCATCCCCAGGAGGTGGTGCTCATGTGTGTCCGGGAGAAGCTTCTGGAGAACCTCAAGAACGAAGTGCCTTATCAGCTGGAGCTAGTGAGTTTTTGTTTTGTATTTTCTGCTCTCTGATTCTCTTCTTCTTCTTCGCATTCACCGACTGTAAGCTACACCAGAATGTTCTGGTTGTTTTTCCACTACTGGGTTTTGGTCATTTTCTAGAACTTGAGTTTTGTATGGACATCCTTTTAACAAATTTGGCTTATTTATATGCAGATTGTTGGTTCCTCGCCTCTCAGGCAGATGCACTCCAAATTTGAAGGAAATACCCCTAATTGGTAACTGGTTGCCTTTTATGTCATGGGGGGGAGGGGGGGGGGTGGTTATAGTTCTCCCCCTCCTGTCACCCAGCTGATAAGGCTCCAGAACCCACTTGGAGGGCTGTATAGATAACTTCCAGTGGACATAATAGCACCTCATTTTGGTTTATTCTCAGCTCTGTAAATATTACTGTTGCCACTGATCAAAGTTACCATTGCGCTTTAAGTGTGTCCCTGAGTGGTTAGTCTCCATTAGGAGCTGCAGAAGAGTAAGTAAAGTAAAGAATCCTTCCGGTGTATTGGGCATATAAGGTTATGCTTATATTTTATAGACCAGTCAGCGCTTGAAGCATGCCGCCTTTACTTCCCAGGACTACACCTGGTAGCTACTCAAGGCTGGGTCCACCTGGGTGTAAAAGTAATTTTTTTTTTTGTAAAGTGTGGTTCTGTCAGGACCTGAACTCACGACCTTCTGATCAGCAGGTGAGTTTCCTAATGGATGAAAGATAGGGTGGTGTTCATCACTTGTGATGGATGAGCAACAATGTGATGGATGAGCAACAATGTGATGGATGTGAGGTAGTGTCAAGCGGATACAAGATCTTAGTTGTACCACACAAAATGCTAATCTCTGTGGGGTATAAGGGCGTCACCATGGTCTAGCGGCTAGACGCTCGCCTGCGAATTGGAAGGTCATGGGTTCGGGTCCTGACAGGTCCTTTCAGAGGGAGCTTCTCAGTGACGAAGGTCACTATTGCAGTATCAGCTGTTGCAGCACCAGATATACTTTACAGAGGTAACTCCAGAAAGTGAAGACTACATACTCTAATCCGTATAATATAATAGAATCAACGGCTATATGGGAAATTGGATAAAGAAATTGACATTAGATGCAGTAAAGCAAACCAAGTATTGGGACAGCTAGCCCCCCTCTTACAGCATAAGACAATCCCAATCAGCACAAAGAGACATCTTATTCAAAGCATATTTATTCCAACTCTGTGCTACCAGTGCCAGACATGGTCACTCACAACAAACCATAAAAGAAAATTAGTAACCACGGAAATGAGATGTCTGAGAAGGGCTGTAGGAGTGACCATAAGAGATAAGATCAGGAATGAGATCATAAGAGAACAAAGTCGGCACAGAACCAATTCTGGATTACATACAAAGACAGCAAGTGAAATGGTTTGCCCACTTAGAGAGAATGCCTTGTGACACCATACCATACAAATCATACATGGAAAGAGAAGAAGGACGTAGAGCACAGGGTAGACCAAGAACAAGATGGAAGGAAAACATCAGAGAAACTCTACAACAGCACGATGTGCCTGTGGTCGAGGCAGCCAGAAGAGCTAGAAACAGAACCTTATATCTCCCTCGACTCCCACAGCGGTAAAAGAGGAAGTGAAGAAGAAGAAGAAGAAGAACGGCTGTTACTGATTCAAATGGCAAGATTAAAGAGTGGCCAAGCATCATGACCTATATGTGCCATGAAGAAGCAGAGAGAAAGAACAGGCCAAGAAACTAGCTGAAGTTACTGTAGAGAGTGCAGCGATCGAACTGGCTGCCACCCTGTGAGAAGAAAGCATCAAGGGTAACCTGAAGACAACTGAAACCTCGAATACTACTACAAACAATACACCACAAGATATGTTGGCAGTATAGCCCATGACCTTCAAGAACCCTATAATAACCAGGAATGCAGATGGCTATACCAATGCTTCAGCTAACAAAGAAACAACAGCCAATAGGAAGACACCTGTATATAAAGAGATATCCTTTAGATATTCTTTCCAGGACTCTTTTGGAAAACAATATTAAGACATTCAAAGAACTAAAAGCAGAAACAATAACATTATTGAAAGATTTGCAAAAAACATCAAGTTGAAAGGGTTAAAGACAGTAGACAACCTTAAACTGCCGAAGAAAATAGTGGAAAAACAACACAAGACAAGCCAAAAGAAATAACACCAAAAGGATTCACCAGCTTGGGTTACGAATTTGAAGACAGATTCACTACAGAAATGAACTGGGTATTCCCACCAGAAAACATCAACGAAGACTGAAGAGCACAAGTTCTATATGGAAAGAGACTGAGGGAAGAGGTAAGAAGAGAACGGCATAAAACATCTCTGGAGACGGAACAAACAAATGCGCCAAGCAATTAAGGAAACACCAGACAGATTAGAAACAGAAAAAAGAGGATGGAAAGAAGACAGGCCCTGGATTCCCACTATTTGGGGTAAGATATTAACAAAGCACGGCAGAATGGAACTGTAAGAAGACAAAAGAAGCAACGGCCGCCAGATGTGTTCTAACATAGTGAGGAATGAAACCAAACTACAGCGAAATCAAACTACACAATAAGAAAGGACAGCAGATTTGTATCCCTTCAGAAACCAGTACCAAGAATACTATAATACTACAAGAATACTATAGAAGGAGGAATCACATCACTGTCAGTTAAAACGTACTCTGACAACAAGTTAGTTAGTCAAGAGATTATCCTCATTGCATTTCGAACCGCTCAGTCCATAAGTGCTCGGATCGCCTCCTCAGTGAATCCTGTAGCGTGTAGTGGCTGACGACACTAGTACTGTGTTGGTTTATTATTATTCTTTGGCTACCCATGTTCTTGTTTGGCAACACCCCATTTAACTTGCTATTTGTGCAGGTTGAAGTTCTCAATTGGTTCAGGCAACATCTTAAATCTCGTATAGCATTCGGTATATCAGCCTGGTCCATGGCTTGTCCGGTTTTCACATTAGCCTTACCTGCAAGTCTATCAGCTGGCTTATTTCCTTGTATCCATACATGTCCTGGCACAAAAATTAAACTAATCCTTGTCAGCCGTGAATGCTGTAGAGCCACCAACCCCTACCTTCAGACCCAGCCCTTCTCTCTCTTCCTGAGCATACTCATCGAGTCACCCAGAAAGCATGCCCCAGTGAAAGTCTGTGTCTCTAGCCATGTTACTGCTTTAGTCACAACCGTGACCTCCATATTCAGACAAGAAGACCTAAAATAACCACAAAAAACCTTATCGGAACAAGTACTGCAGAATAAAGATCGCAGTTATAATCAAATGCTCTGAGCTTGAATTCGATTGAATTATAGGAATATACTCAATACACCTGAAGGTGTGGACAAGGGTCCTTGACTTTTTATGAGGTATACGGTAGGTTTGAAATCCGCGGCTTACAAGATTTGTGCTTGCTTCTTTACAGAGTTTAGTCATGTTAACTGTTGACCCCGAAGATCACCTCTTGAATGTCATTGTCAATATCCACTGTCAGACTGAACGACAGCTGGTAAGTCTTTACTGTTTTATTACATAATCATCTGTTCATGTACTCGGATGTTTGTCGTATGCAGAGATCCATTGCCCCTTAACAGGTCGTGATGAGCAGATATCGCAGCCTAGCTGTGAACAACATCACAACCTGCCAACCACCCCTTGAAGGTTGAACACAGAAGAAGTATTTAGATACAGATCTTAAATTCTGGAATAAGATAGAGGTCTAGAAGTGGACAAACAAGCAGAACTTTCTCCTGGAGTTTACAGCCTGTGAACGCGAAGAAGAAGAAAAAAACCACCCGCTGGAATATCCAGCTGTGGTGAGTTGAGGGTTTAGGAAGTTTTTCTTGCCGTGACGTATATTAACAGATGTTAAAATGTTTAGAATAGCAAATTTGTGCATATTGCAGTCCTGTCTTCTACCATTTTTGTGTGGGTAAGTGGGTGTGGTGTGTGCGGTAAGTGTGTGTATGCATTTTACTGCCCAGGCTTTTTTGTTTTTGCTTGATATTCGTAATATGCATATTATTATATGAACACAACGTGCCTTATTGGTAAACTACAACTGCAGTGTGAGAGATGGGTGTTTGGAAGGGCTGAATGTAAAAAGGGCCTGCGTGCCCAATTTGTGACCCTTTGAAAATAAAGTTTGTTCGTTTATTTATCCTGTCTTCTACTGTCCTACCTTCTTCCATCATGTTGTCTACTGTCCTGTCTTCTGCCAGCCTGTCTTGTCTTCTGGCATCCTGCTTTCTAGCCTTCTCTACCATCCTGTTTTTTTTCTTCTTGTCTTCTGCCAGCCTGTCTTCTACTGTCTTGTCTTCTGCCAGCCTGTCTTGTCTTCTGCCAGCCTGTCTTCTACTGTCTTGTCTTCTGCCAACCTGTCTTCTACTGCCTTGTTTTCTGCCAGCCTGTCTTCTACTGTCTTGTCTTCTGCCAGCCTGTCTTCTACTGTCTTGTCTTCTGCCAGCCTGTCTTCTACTGTCTTGTCTTCTGCCAGCCTGTCTTCTACTGTCTTGTCTTCTGCCAGCCTGTCTTCTACTGCCTTGTTTTCTGCCAGCCTGTCTTCTACTGTCTTGTCTTCTGCCAGCCTGTCTTCTACTGTCTTGTTTTCTGCCAGCCTGTCTTCTACTGTCTTGTCTTCTGCCAGCCTGTCTTCTACTGTCTTGTCTTCTGCCAGCCTGTCTTCTACTGTCTTGTCTTCTGCCAGCCTGTCTTCTGCTGTCTTGTCTTCTGCCAGCCTGTCTTCTGCTGTCTTGTCTTCTGCCAGCCTGTCTTCTGCCAGCCTGTCTTCTACTGCCTTGTTTTCTACTGCCTTGTCTTCTGCCAGCCTGTCTTCTACTGTCTTGTCTTCTGCCAGCCTGTCTTCTACTCCTGTCTTCTGCTGTCTTGTCTTCTGCCAGCCTTCTTCTACTGTCTTGTCTTCTGCCAGCCTGTCTTTTACTGTCTTGTCTTCTGCCAGCCTGTCTTCTGCCAGCCTGTCTTCTACTGTCTTGTCTTCTGCCAGCCTGTCTTCTACTGTCTTGTCTTCTGCCAGCCTGTATTCTACTCTTGTCTTCTGCCAGCCTGTCTTCTACTGTCTTGTCTTCTGCCAGCCTGTCTTCTATTGTCTTGTCTTCTGCCAGCATGTCTTCTACTGCCTTGTTTTCTGCCAGCCTGTCTTCTGCCAGCCTGTCTTGTCTTCTGCCAGCCTGTCTTCTACTGCCTTGTCATCTGCCAGCCTGTCTTCTATTGTCTTGTCTTCTGCCAGCATGTCTTCTACTGTCTTGTCTTCTGCCAGCATGTCTTCTATTGTCTTGTCTTCTACCAGCCTATCTTCTACTGTCTTGTCTTCTGCCAGCCTGTCTTCTACTGCCTTGTCTTCTGCCAGCCTGCCTTCTACTGTCTTGTCTTCTGCCAGCCTGTCTTCTACTGTCTTGTCTTCTGCCAGCCTGTCTTGTCTTTTGCCAGCCTGTCTTCTACTGTCCTGTCTTCTACTATCTTGTCTTCTACTGTCCTGTCTTCTACTATCTTGTCTTCTACTGTCCTGTTTTCCCACAGTCCTGCCTTCTGCTATTGTCCTGCTCCATACAGACCTACCAACAGACCGTTTTCCAAACCTTATAAGTGTATTTGGCGTATAGGGCTAAACCTATTTTATATAAACTCAGAGGGTGCTGTTATCAAAATCAAGCCAATTCCCTGATACCAATTTAAGGCTGGGTTGATCTGGAAGAGAAGATTATTCAAATTAAAAAAAAAAAAAAAAAATATTAAGTCTGGTTCCATCAGGACCTGAGCCCACGACGTTCAGATCTGCAGCCAAGCACCTAGCCACTACACCACTTCAGCTCATGAACACAGTGAAAAAACTTAAATACATGGAACTGTGTTTGTTGACTTTCAGACGATCTTCCTGGGCAGAGAGGGGCAGATGATCCAGAAGATCTCCAGCCAGTCTAAACAAGCCATTATGGACACATTTCGGTGTGACGTCCGGCTCAAGCTGGTGGCCAAACTCCAGAAAAAGAAATTATGATTTGACAGGCGTGTTGAATGTATGTGGGTGAGTGAGAGACAATGTGGGGAATGGGGGGAGAGAAACTGTGTGTGTGTGTGTGGGGGGGGGGGGGAGAAAATGTGTATGTGTGAGAAACAATTGGCATGTGGATTAGACATGCCTGACAGTCAAGTATGTTGTTCAGGCAATCTGTCAGACACACTTGTCTGCTTCTGTTGATCTGACACAGCACAAACTAGAGAGCCTGTACCAGCACAGATTAGAGAACTTGTGCTGGTACAGCCTAGAGTGTGTACAGACCCAAACCTTGTACTGACACAGATTAGAGAACTTGTACTGAAACACAGACAAGTAGGATTGTACTGGCACAGATGTTGTACCAACACAGATTAGAGAACTTGTACTGAAACACAGACAAGTAGGATTGTACTGGCACAGATGTTGTACCAACACAGATTAGAGAACTTTTACTGATACACAGACAAGTAAGATTGTACTGGCGCAGACCTTAAACTCCTACAGAAACTATAGGAGTCTCTCAAGCACAGACCTTTTACTGGAGCAAAGCTTCCAGAAAACAAACTTATCTTTGCAGATTGAGGATATGAGTCTATGTGTTGTTTTATTTCTAGACCAATTTATATGATGTAAACATACGTGTATGACCAGTGTTGCTTGAATGTTGCAACATGGAATAATAATGCCATATTGAGTGTTAACAGTTTGTTAAATGTTGCAACATTTAGAGATGTCATGTTGAGTGTTAAGAGTTGGTTAAATGTTGCAACATTTAGAGATGACATGTTGAGTGTTAACAGTTTGTTAAATGTTGCAACATTTAGAGATGTCATGTTGAGTGTTAAGAGTTGGTTAAATGTTGCAACATTTAGAGATGACATGTTGAGTGTTAACGTTTGCTTAAATGTTGCAGCATTGGCGATGTCATGTTGAGTGTTAACATTTGCTTAAATGTTGCAGCATTAAAGATGTCATGTTCAGTGTTAACATTTGCTTAAATGTTGCAGCATTAGCAATGTCATGTTGAGTGTTAACATTTGCTTAAATGTTGCAGCATTGGCGATGTCATGTTGAGTGTTAACATTTGCTTAAATGTTGCAGCATTAAAGATGTCATGTTGAGTGTTAACATTTGCTTAAATGTTGCAGCATTAAAGATGTCATGTTGAGTGTTAACATTTGCTTAAATGTTGCAGCATTAAAGATGTCATGTTCAGTGTTAACATTTGCTTAAATGTTGCAGCATAAACATGCTTATGTGTGTGTTAACACTTAATCGTTGTAAACATGCACATGGGGATGTGATTGCTGTTCAGAGGAAGCATGTTTTGTAATTCAGTGACTGGTTGTGTGCATAGAGGCCCTGATGATTTGACATAAAGATAATACACAAATATCAGTTTGTTTTCATAACTGTTCTCTTGTCACTGGGAATGATAGCTGGTTTGTCTTTGTGACTCCTAAGATCAGATGTCATGTTTGTATCTCCTGGCTCAGATCAGATGTCATGTTTCTGTGTCCCATCTTTCTAAGATCAGATGTCATGTTTGTGTGTCCCGTTTCTCTAAGATCAGATGTCATGTTTGTGTGTCCCGTCTTTCTAAGATCAGATGTCATGTTTGTGTGTCCTGTCTCTCTAAGATCAGATGTCATGTTTGTGTGTCCCATCTTTCTAAGATCAGATGTCATGTTTGTGTGTCCCATCTTTCTAAGATCAGATGTCATGTTTGTGTGTCCCGTTTCTCTAAGATCAGATGTTATGTTTGTGTGTCCAATCTTTCTAAGATCAGATGTCATGTTTGTGTGTCTCGTCTAAGATCAGATGTCATGTTTGTGTGTCCCGTCTTTCTAAGATCAGATGTCATGTTTGTGTGTCTCGTCTAAGATCAGATGTCATGTTTGTATCTCCTGGCTCAGATCAGATGTCATGTTTGTGTGTCCCATCTCTCTAAGATCAAATGTCATGTTTGTGTGTCCCTTCTTTCTAAGATCAGATGTCATGTTTGTATCTCCTGGCTCAGATCAGATGTCATGTTTGTATCTTCTGGCTCAGATCAGATGTCATGTTTGTATCTCTTGGCTCATATCAAATATCATGTTTGTATCTCTTGGCTCAGATCAGATCCCATGTTTGTGTGTCCCATCTCTCTTAGATCAGATGTCATGCTTGTTTCTCCTGGCTCAGATCAGATGTCATGTTTGTGTGTCCTGTCTTTCTAAGATCATATGTCATGTTTGTGTGTCCCGTCTCTCTTAAATCAGATGTCATGTTTTTTGTGTCCGGTCTCTCTAAGAACAGATGTCATGTTTGTGTATCCTGTCTCTCTAAGATCTGCTGTCAAATGCTACATTTGTAACTTGTGTCTCAAATACTATGCTATGCTTGTGACTTGTCTCAGATCAAATGTCACATTCGTGACTCCTGCCTGTCACATGACAGATGAGATGAGACATGCCCCTGGTCTCCCTCCCAAGAAATAAGGTGACAAGGAGTTAGAATATCCTATTATTGGTGTCTTTATTTACCAAATATAAAACTGAATACAACTGATCACATGGTTATCACATTCACACATCAAATAAATCACATGGTTGTCACACCCACACATCAGATACCTCACATGGTTGTCACACCCACACATCAGATACCTCACATGGTTGTCACACACACAACATCAGATACCTCACATGGTTGTCACACTCACACATCAGATACTTGACAAGGTCTTACATAGATATGCACAATAACCTGGCTCACTGTCCCAATTACTTATTCTGCCAGGACCCGACACTGACCTGATGTTCTCAAACCCCAGCACAGAACACAGGAAGTTTCTTTACAGGACGTTGCAGAACCAACCCCAGAATAGTTTAGCCGCTGTTTTTTTAAGGCAAATTTTAGGTCCAGTAAAATGTCAGCTCCCGGTACCACTATTAAAACCAACACAAGAGGCTCTGGTGCTACAGACGGTGACGCGCCTAACAAATGTCACACAAGGCATCTAAGTAGCGATTTAATGAAATCAGACGTGTTGGGACTAAAGATGCAGATTTGGCCTAGATGTCTACAACCATAAAACCAACAAAAAAGATCAAGGCTGATTACAGGTCTTCCATGCCTGGTCAGGTGCATTTGTTGAAACAGAAAAAGAAGCCAACAAGAAGAAATGAAGGAACTCTTTTTTTTAGCTTACATTTGGTAGCAGACAATTCTGATACGCCATTCAGGACAGTTCAAATAATGTTGGTTTTAAAAAGTATTCAAAGATGTGATCACAAGGATCTGCTGACCCGTGTGTTGCCAACATGTGGTCACAAGGATCTGCTGACCCATGTGTTGCCAACATGCGGTCACAAGGATCTGCTGACCCATGTGTTGCCAACATGTGGTCACAAGGATCTGCTGACCCATGTGTTGCCAACATGTGGTCACAAGGATCTGCTGACCCGTGTGTTGCCAACATGTGGTCACAAGGATCTGCTGACCCATGTGTTGCCAACATGTGGTCTCAAAGATCGCTGACCCATGTGTTGCCAACATGTGATCACAAGGATCTGCTGACCCGTGTGTTGCCAACATGAGGTCACAAGGATCTGCTGACCCGTGTGTTGCCAACATGTGATCACAAGGATCTGCTGACCCGTGTGTTGCCAACATGAGGTCACAAAGATCTGCTGACCCGTGTGTTGCCAACATGTAATCACGAGGATCTGCTGACCCGTGTGTTGCCAACATGAGGTCACAAAGATCTGCTGACCCGTGTGTTGCCAACATGTAATCACAAGGATCTGCTGACCCATGTGTTGCCAACATGTAATCACAAGGATCTGCTGACCCGTGTGTTGCCAACATGAGGTCACAAAGATCTGCTGACCCGTGTGTTGCCAACATGTAATCACAAGGATCTGCTGACCCGTGTGTTGCCAACATGAGGTCACAAGGATCTGCTGACCCGTGTGTTGCCAACATGAGGTCACAAGGATCTGCTGACCCGTGTGTTGCCAACATGAGGTCTCAAAGATCTGCTGACCCGTGTGTTGCCAACATGTGGTCACAAGGATCTGCTGACCCGTGTGTTGCCAACATGTGGTCACAAGGATCTGCTGACCCGTGTGTTGCCAACATGAGGTCTCAAAGATCTGCTGACCCATGTGTTGCCAACATGAGGTCACAAGGATCTGCTGACCCGTGTGTTGCCAACATGTGGTCACAAGGATCTGCTGACCCATGTGTTGTTGCCAACATGTGGTCACAAGGATCTGCTGACCCGTGTGTTGCCAACATGTGGTCACAAGGATCTGCTGACCCGTGTGTTGCCAACATGTGGTCACAAGGATATGCTGACCCGTGTGTTGCCAACATGTGGTCACAAGGATCTGCTGACCCATGTGTTGCCAACATGTGGTCACAAGGATCTGCTGACCCGTGTGCTGGAAGCTTTAGCAAAGAAGAGGTGGAAAGTTCAGTCACACCAAGTCTACAGTCCTAATCTGATGCCAATAAATTTTTTAGTCGCCTGTGTTTAAAAAAATAAAAATTTTTTTAAATTGATAGGATCCATACGGGATCATGACCTATTTTTTTTTAAAAAGAATTCTCAGGGTGAAAGCGTTCAAACTCTCAAAGTATAATTCAGGCAAACATCAGAGATGAACAAATGTTTAAATCAGAAGCCAAAGTCCTTCACCGACAAAATCCACCGGGACGGCTTTCTCTCGTTCATGCCCCATGTGAACAGAGAGACCATATGAAACAAATGTATCAGTTCTCAACAGTGTTTACATAAAACTTGTAATAAATGTTCATACAATATATGAATCAAATCATATTTGCACACAACCAATCACATAAACATACAACTTCCCACACAACCAATCACAAACACACCATAACCAAAAACATGGATCAGATGCAGAGAAATAAATACAAATGTACAGTAAATGAAATAATAATCACAAATGTACATCAACAATTGTGTACAGATGACAATCAAGTACATTTGCACACACAAAAATGGGCTCTTTATTAACCTTTTCAGTCCCAGGGGGGTTTATCTTTAAACGCCCTAGGGGTAGTGAAAAGAGACGTAAAATCAGAGAATCTTGTGTTCAATGGGCCTCTAGGTCCTAACCTAAAAACGTATGATGCGTTCCTTAGGACTGCAAGAGTTAAAATAATATAAGTCCCATAACTGGCCTGTGTGCCCCTGCTCCCAACTGTTCTGTATCCGTGTAAACTTAGGTACTCGTATCCAGTGGATATGTTAACTGTCTTGGCACATACGTGTATGCCTATGAGCTTTAACCTGCCTCTGATATCACACACAAACTAAACCCCCACGAAGACACCCCCACAATCACTATCAGACAAGCTGAACTCTATATCTCATGGAGGGTTGCCACAGATACCAGGAAATGAACTCAATTATAATTCACATGAAGAAATCACAGAGACAACAACTCAACTAATTCACCACAATGGGTTGCCACAGACAAACCATCAAATTATCTCAACTAATTCCCATGAAAAGTTGTGACAGACAAACCAACACATCATCTCAAATGATTCCCATGAGGAGTTGTTACAGACACATCAAATCATCTCAACTAATTCCCATGAAAAGTTGTCACAGACACATCAAATCACCTCTACTAATTCCCATGAAAAGTTGTCACAGACACATCAAATCACCTCCACTAATTCCCATGAGGAGTTGTCACAGACACATCAAATCACCTCTACTAATTCACATGAAGAGTTGTCACAGACACATCAAATCATCTCAACTAATTCCCATAAGGAGTTGTCACAGACACATCAACTCCAATTCCCAATGAAGAGATGCCTGACACATCAAATCAACTGTGTATCTATTGAATTGTATCACTATGAACAGAAGCCCACAGTAACACTGTCCACAGAAGCCCACCATAACATTGTCCGCAGAAGCCCACAGTAACACTATCCACAGAAGCCCACCATAACATTGTCCGCAGAAGCCCACTGTAACACTGTCCACAGAAGACAATGTGACGGTCCATAGAAGCCCATAGTAACACTGTCCACAGAAGACAATGTGACAGTCCATAGAAGCCCATAGTAACACTGTCCACAGAAGACAATGTGACAGTCCATAGAAGCCCATAGTAACACTGTCCACAGAAGACAATGTGACAGTCCATAGAAGCCCATAGTAACACTGTCCACAGAAGACAATGTGACGGTCCATAGAAGCCCATAGTAACACTGTCCACAGAAGACAATGTGACGGTCCATAGAAGCCCATAGTAACACTGTCCACAGAAGACAATTTAACAGTCCATAGAAGCCCATAGTAACACTGTCCACAGAAGCCCACTGTAACACTGTCCACAGAAGACAATTTAACAGTCCATAGAAGCTCACTGTAACATTGTCCACCATAGAGGCCATTGTGCCTCTGCCTACAGCAGCCCCATTGTGCCTCTTGCCTACAGCAGCCCCATTGTGCCTCTTGCCTACAGCAGCCCCATTGTGCCTCTTGCCTACAGCAGCCCCATTGTGCCTCTTGCCTACAGCAGCCCCATTGTGCCTCTTGCCTACAGCAGCCCAAGTGTGCCTCTTGCCTACAGCAGCCCCATTGTGCTTCCGTCTACAGAAATCCCTAACACTGACCTAACGTTGTGGACTCCAGAATTCTGGCAGTCAGTGATGAGATGATATTGAGTTAATAATAGGGAATCAAAAGAGGTCCAGTCAGTGGCCCTTCAATTACCCGTGATCAATGATCATGACAGCTCCACAAGAGAATGTCAGACACATAATACAGCTTCAAATACAACCAGTAAAATGCTGGACACAACACACAGCTTTAAAAAACAGAATGCTGGCATATGGCCAAAGCAATGGCCATGTATCACTGGAAACAAAAGGCATACACACATGACACAGCTGGAGGGCGGTCACATATAATTGGCACCAGACTTGGTCCATGGCCAGATTTCTGACATCTCCCTGTCACAGCACAACTCCCTCACAGAACAGCAGATTGTGCTGGTGCAACCAAATATTGTAGAATACTAATTACACATAGAATCTCAGATTACACACAATGAGATGTTCTAACTATGGGATGTCTAACAAACAATGAGATGTTCTCACATGGTATCTCAGATAACACACAATGAGATGTTCTAACATGGGATCTCGGATAACACACAATGAGATGTTCTAACATGGGATCTCAGATAACACACAATGAGATGTTCTCACATGGGATCTCAGATTACATACAATGAGATGTTCTCACATGGGATCTCAGATTACACAATAAGATGTTCTCCCATGAAATGTCAGATTACACACAATGAGATGTTCTAACTAGGGGTTGCAAAAAAAAAGATATAATGGGATTCAATTGTTGGATTAGGGAATGTAAATGGAATTTCTATCATGAGATTAAAGCATAAATGAGACAATACAGTATCAGCCTAGTCTCAAACAATATGTGATAAAATGATAGCCTACACTCTCAGACAATATGTGAGGATATGATAGCCTACACTCCCAGACAATATGTGAGGATATGATAGCCTACACTCCCAGACAATATGTGAGGATATGATAGCCTACATTCCCAGACAATTTGTGATAATATGATAGCCTACACTCCCAGACAATATGTGAGGATATGATAGCCTACAGTCCCAGACAATATGTGATAATATAATAACCTACACTACCTGACAATATGTGATATGATATCAGCCCGAGGTCCCAGACAATATGTGATGTTATGATCCAGGAATCACAAGTCGGATAGTCACCTTCAGACATTCATAAAACATCAAGCTGTCAACTACAATCTCCCAACAAAGATGATGATGATACTGCTTTCTGATACCACTCAAGACTGTGTCCGATAGAATTCATGTGAATCTCTTCATGACATTTACAAAACAAGCCTTCCCCCCCCCCCTCCCCCCGCTTCTAAAGACCTGGTCCTCAGCTGAGTGAATCTCCTCAGATGGTCATTCAAAGATGTTCACACAATTTCAAGTCACCAACTACAATCTCCCAACACAGATGATGATGACGATGCTCCCTGATGTGCTAAAAAAAAAACGGTCATGAGTGAATCTCTTCTTGATATTTACATCATGAATACAGCAATTACAATCAGATGGTAACCTACAGATGTTCACAAATTACCAGGTCACCAACTACAAGCTTCAAACAATGATAACGCTGCTCCCAGACCTGGTCTGATCAAATGTGTGTGAATCTTCTTCATATTTACAACATGAGTTCAGCAATTACAATCAGATTGTCATCTGAAGATTTTCATAAAGTATCAAGTCACCAACAACAATCTCCCAATGCCTTGCTCCCTGATGCCTCTCAAGACCTGGCCTGATAGAATTCATGTGAATCTCTTTATGACAGTTACAACACAATCACACGATCACCTACAGGTGTTCATTAAATATCAAGTCGTCAGCTACAACTATCAAATTATCCAAAGTCATCTAGCAAAATGATGATGATAATGATGAGAATAAGTTTGCTCTCCTGCTGGCGAGTGAATACCCCAGGTGTGGAGGAGACACACCCACTCTCACAGAACTAAACAAACAAGGACCCTCTCGCTGAGTCATGTGGTCCGCAGTGTGATGCCCTGACCCGCAAGGTGGGAGGAAACATGTTGCTAACCTACACTTCCATGTGTTTGGCAGGAGGGACAACCAAGAATGGCTCATGCCACATCCGTCTCAGATCTCCCTGAAATGTTATATTGTGTACATGTTAGTGTCATGCCGATCAATGATCTATTCTCAACATGAACAAATGTTATATTGTGCATATGTTGTTACAGTCACCCGTTTCAATGTTAGATTGTGCATATATGTTGTTACAGTCACCCGTATCAATGTTACATTGTGCATATGTTGTTACAGTCACCCGTTTCTATGTTACATTGTGTATATGTTGTTACAGTCACCCGTTTCAATGTTACATTGTGCATTTGTTGTTACAGTCACCCGTTTCAATGTTACATTGTGCATTTGTTGTTACAGTCACCCGTATAAATGTTATATTGTGCATATGTTGTTACAGTCACCCGTATCAATCTTACATTGTGCATATGTTGTTACAGTCACCAGTATCAATGTTACATTGTGCATATGTTGTTACAATCGTCCGTATCAATGTTACATTGTGCATATATGTTGTTACAGTCACCCATATCAATGTTACATTGTGCATATGTTGTTACAGTCACCCGTATCAATGTTGATTTTCAAAACCTGAACAAATAAGGACTGAGTGGGATGAGAAACAATAACTGAGGATTATATTATGACAACATGAACAAACGGATGACCGAATGTGATGAGAAACAATAATTGATGATTATATTATAACAACATGAACAAACGGATGACTAAATGTGATGAGAGAAACTATATTTGATGATTATATTATAACAACATGAACAAACGTATGACCAAATGTGATGAGAGAAACTATAATTGATGATTATATTGTAACAACATGAACAAACGGATGACCAAATGTGATGAGAGAAACTATAATTGATGATTATATTGTAACAACATGAACAAACGGATGACCAAATGTGATGAGAGAAACTATAAGTGATGATTATATTATGACAACATACACAAATGACCAAATGTGATGAGAGAAGTTATAACTGAGGATTATATTATGACTACATGAAGAAACTAATGACCAAATGTGATGACAGAAACAATAATTGATGATCATAACAACATGAACAAACGGATGACCGAATGTGATAAGAGAAACTATAACTGGTTATTTTATTATGACAACATGAACAAATGATGACCGAATGTGATAAGAGAAACTATAACTGGTTATTTTATTATGACAACATGAACAAATGATGACCGAATGTGACGAGACCAGCAATAACAAAATTACTTGTAATACTACCACAACGTATTAACAACCGCTTCTCTCAATATTCACTGGCTGTACACTCCAGTAGAAAGTTCTGGTTGTATTTTCACTTATGGACTTTGGTCTTGTTACAGAACTGAGTTCTGCATGCACATCCAAATTTCGGATCTGGCTTATATTTGTATGCAGACTATTAGTTTTTTCTCGCCTTCCAGGCAGATGACTTCTGACTTTGAAAGAAACATCCCTACTCAATCAACTGTTATAACATAAGTAAAAATAAAGTAAAGTAAAGATCCTTTTCAAGCCTTTAGGCGTATCGGGCATATGGGAAGAGCACCCATATTTTTACAAGACAATCAGCACTCGGTGGGTAATGTGGTCAGCATTTCCCCGGCTGTCTTTACTTTCCAAGGACAGCCCATCCTGGTACCCATTTGAGGCTGGGTCGACCTGCGACGCCCCATACCATAATAAAACTCCACGCAGCCAGCAGTGGGTTTCGATCACGGTACGTTGGTTTACGAGTCGGACTCACAACGCCTTAGCCACGGACGCCGCACTGTTATAACATGCTTGTCATAAAAGTCAGCATCTGTCGCTTAGGTACTGCGTTGTAATGCTGAATGAAGTACTAGGTTTAGGTTCATTTCAGCTGCGGGCTTTTTGGCTGCTGAGCGTGCAGGAGCAATGGCAAATTACTGAACGTAAAACTGCCTTAGACAAAGGCCAAAAATGCTGGGGTTGGCTCTGCAACATCATAGATAGGACATGCAACTAACTTTGAGATGGGAGGTCTACTCAACCCCAAAACTCGGCTCACATAGGAAGATGGGAGTCGCCATGGCGGAGCGGCTAGACGTGCTGCGGATCGGAAGGTTGTGGGTTCGTTCCCTGGTAAAGCCGGACTTTTTTCTCAAAATGACCTTGACCCCCTGGTCGACCCAGCCTTAAGTGTGTACCGGGTGCAGTCCTGGGAAGTAAAGGCGGCCGGCATGATGCTGACATCACCCATCTTGTGCCAATTGGTCTAAAAAACACAGGTCTAGCCCTATATGTCCGATACGCCTAAAGACGTGGAAAAGTCTTTTGATTTTATTTTACTTAAATGAAGAGATGAGAACAAGTAGACCTCATCACTTTTGTTATAATCACCATATCTAGAAACAAATCTGCAAGTTATATGTAACATATTTATGGTATTGTGGTGCTGGGGTGTCTGTGGATTACCTACCTCCCCGGGCAGCAGCCAGAAATGCCCTGTAAAAGTTCTAAATGAAATATGAATTGTGTTTCCGCCTTCCCCTTTAATACATAGCTAAGGTGGGGCTCACAGTGTGTTCATTCTCCGCCATCAGATTGCCTGCTGGTTTTGCTAAGAGTTAAATGTAACAAACAGATAGATTACCTTGAGGTACGCCATCGTAAGCAGCGGTAATAAAGTAAATGGTACCAGATATAACAATGCAGGCTGGGCAGCCTTGAATACTTCTGAGGACACAGTTGCAGTCAGCAAACCTGCAGATAGAAATCAGCTGCCATTAGAAAGCTCCATCAGCACTGTATCAAAGAAACAGGTTTTCTAGTGGCAATAATGACCAGATTAATCACATACAAGATTTTCCAGAGACATCAATCGTCACTGTATCAGTCAACATATTTTCCAGAGAGATCATTCATCACTGTATCAGTCAACATATTTTCCAGAGAGATCATTCATCACTGTATCAGTCAACATATTTTCCAGAGAGATCAATCATCACTGTATCAGTCAACATATTTTCCAGAGAGATCAATCATCACTGTATCAGTCAACATATTTTCCAGAGACATCAATCGTCACTGTATCAGTCAACATATTTTCCAGAGAGATCAATCATCACTGTATCAGTCAACATATTTTCCAGAGAGATCAATCATCACTGTATCAGTCAACTATTTTCCAGAGACATCAATCGTCACTGTATCAGTCAACATATTTTCCAGAGAGATCAATCATCACTGTATCAGTCAACATATTTTCTAGAGACATCAATCGTCACTGTATCAGTCAACATATTTTCCAGAGAGATCAATCATCACTGTATCAGTCAACATATTTTCCAGAGAGATCAATCATCACTGTATCAGTCAAAAAATGTATTATTTCTAGCGAGATCAATCATCATTGTATCAATCAAACAATGTATTGTCTAGAGAGAGCACTCATCACTGATCAATTATCAGTGTATCAATCAAAGAACTGACATTCAAGAGACATCTAGCATCACTGCATCAATCACACAACAGACATCCAAGAAACATCAATCACCACTATATCATTCAAACAAAGGACATCCAAGAGACATCAGTCATTACTGTATCAATCAAACAACAATGCCCCAGAAACATTATGTATCACTGTATTAATAAAACAAAAGACATCCAAGAGACATCAGTCATCACTGTATCAATCAAACAACAAATGCCCCAGAAACATTAACTATCACTGTATCAATCAAACAACAGACATCCAAGAGACATCAATCACCACTATATCATTCAAACAAAGGACATCCAAGAGACATCAGTCATCACTGTATCAATCAAACAACAAATGCCCCAGAAACATTAACTATCACTGTATCAATCAAACAAAAGACACCCAAGAGACATCACTCATCACTGTATCAATCAAACAACAAATGCCCCAGAAACATTAACTATCACTGTATCAATCAAACAACAGACATCCAAGAGACATCTACCATCACTGTATCAACCAAACAATTGATGTCCAAGAGACACCTATCAAACAACAGATGTCCTAGAGACATGACATCAAAATAATCTTTAGCATCAAGCAATAAAGTCTAAATAACTATCAATATCTGCCAACAATAGAACAGATTATAACTGATCACAGCATGAATGACTGATTAAATTCTAAACGATTATAATATGCCAATAACAGATAGGTTCAAAATGACCACCAGCATCAGGGGTACAATCTAAATGACTAGATAAATCTGACAACAATAGCAGGTAGATTCTAAATGATTGTCAGTGTATACCGTTTGGGTTCCGGGGCCCTATTATAGGGAAAACAAGAATAGACCCACTGCCTACCCAAAAGCATGTCATAAGAGTCGACTAATTGGGAGCTTCTTTCGAAGTAGGAGTGCATTTGCCTGAGCGGCAAGGAACCAGCAGTCTGCATACAAGAGAGTCAGATCTATCAAACGAATGTCCACACAACACTCAGGTTTTGCAACAGGACTGCAGTCCAGAAGTAGATGAACAACCAGAACTTTCCGCTGGAGTTTACAGCTGGTGAACACGAAGAAGAAGAATCGTCAGTGTCAGACAACTCTAAATGACTGCACAAATTTCGGGTCTTAACGGAAGCAGGCTTTTTTATTTAAAAAAATGACCTTGTCTCCCAGGTGGATCCAGCCTTGAGTGGGTACCAGGTACAGTCCTGAGAAGTAAAGGCAGCGTGAGGCTGACCATATCACCTACCAGGTGCCGATTATCTATAAAACATAGGTCTAGCCCTATTGGCTTGAAAGGCGTGCAAAAGGGCCCTTTACTTTACTTACTTCAACTGCACAAATGAATACCACCTGTGGATTCATCTTCTTCTGTATTCATTCTTTATATGTGCGGTTGGCATACTGTATTGTGATTTACAGCTAGGCTGTAATGTCTTTTGGCCCAACACTTCAAATTTCAAGAAACCCATAAATAGTCGCCCTTTTACGAGATGCTTGTGCACTTGTATTGGATCTGTGTTTTTTTTTTCTTTCTTTCTCCAAAATGGAGGCCCAGAACCCACACAAGAAAATCTGTGGACGGAAATTATAGACGCGAAGTTAAGCTGACCTAGAAAGTATCCCACAAGAGAACAGTGAAAGTAGGACAGCCTCTGGACATAGTTGGGAGGAGGCGGAACTCCTGTCTCTGCCAGGCTGGTCTGAGATTTCTTGTAGGTGTCGTAACGTAGAACAAAACATAATAACAAGCCAGGCATCACCTGGGGACCAGAGAGAACATGTATATCACATATCATCATCATTATCATGTGTCATTATATGTCCCACAGGGCTCACAGTCTACTCCTCCATCCCATGCTATCCTGTGCAATCCCTTTAATATCATGGATGGAATCCAGTCCAGCACCTTTGGCCTCTTTATCAACATTCATTTTAGGGTGTCCTTGCTTCCTCAATCCCTTTATTTCTTATTTTAGTGCCTGTCAGTTGAATCGCTGTTTGCCTCTTCTCAGGATCTGTCCAATATAGTGGCATCTTCTTTGTCTCAAAACTGTTGTTATCAGCCTTAACCCAGACACTTCTTCTAAATTTTCACCCCTCTTGAATGTTTTACCTATGGCAATTTGTATAGGCATCTTTTTCTTCTTCAGCATTCCAAGCCCTTGAGGTTCATGACTGCAGATATCAAGTGCCTTCATTCACCCACTACAGCCTAAAAGAACAGATGCTCATGCCTACTCATGAATAAATACACAGAGAGAGAGAGAGAGAGAACGAACGAACAAAACAAACTTTATTTTCAAAGGGTTATAAATTGGGCACGCAGTCTTACATTCGGTCCTTCCAAGAACTTATCTTTCAGGCAACAATGCATGTTATGTTTATATAAAAAAATACATAATGAAATAATACATACACACATCTTGTACAAATAATGATACATACTCCAAATATACACGTACATATATACTCTTATTATGCCAATACGTACATAGGGGGAGGAAAGAACGGGAGAGAGACAAACAGACAAACAAACAGGGAGATATTTACAAACAGGGAGATATATACAAACATGGAGAGATATACATACAGGGAGAGATATACACACAGGGAAAGATATACAAACAGGGAGAGATATACATACAGGGAGAGATATACAAACAGGGAGAGACTTACAAACAGGGAGAGATATAAAAATAGGGAGAGACAGACAAACAGGAAGAGACAGTTAAACAGGGAGAGACAGACAAACAGGAAGAGACAAGGAGAAACAGTCAGGGAGAGACAAACAAACATGGAGAGACAGATGACAAATAGGGAGAGACGGTTAAACAGGGAGAGACAGACAAACAGGAAGAGACAGACAGAGACAAGAAGAGACAGTCAGGGAGAGACAAACAAACATGGAGAGACAGATGACAAACAGGGAGAGACAGACAGACAAAGAGAAACAGACAGGGGGAGACAGACAGGGAGAGAGCAAGACTCACAATATCACCAAGTCCAAGCATGTTAAAGTGACTGGAATTCTGGGAACTGAAATGAGAAAATACATGTGTTATCTCCAGCAACTCAAATATGTACAACTATCTGACAAAATGTGTACAAATATCTGTTAAGGTTTACAATCATATACACCCATTTGTGGGAACACATACAGCTATCTGTGGGAACAGGCATAATCAATATGAGGGAACATGTACGATCATAAGTGGGAAAATTTACAACCATCTGTGGAAACATGTATAACCATCTGTTGGAACATGCACAATCATGTGAGGGAACATGTATGATCATCTGTGGGAACATGTACAATCATGTGAGGGAACATGTACCATCCCATATGGGTACATGTATAACCTTCTTGGGTACATGTACAATTATGGTGAGGGAATATGTATGATCATGTGAGGGAAAATATACCATCCCATATGGGTGCATGTATAACCTTCTGTGGGTACATGTACAATCATGGTGAGGGAACATGTAAGATCATGTGAGGGAACATGTATGATCATCTGTGGGAACATATATAACCAACTGTGGAAAGGTATAACAATCTGTGGGAGCATGTACAATCATGGTGGGGGAACATGTAAAACCATCTATGGGAACATGTACAACAATCTGGGGGAGCATGCACAATCATCTGAGGGAACATGTACAATCATGTGAGGGAACAAGTACAATCATCAACAAGTATTATCTCCAGAGCTATGAAGTGCATGCTCAGATTGGTGTCATCTTCAGCTATTAATGAAGAGGGTCAAAGTGCCACTGGCATTGGAACTTAGAGCTGGCTGCTTCAAGATGAGAAGGGGCAAATATGAGGATGCATGCAGAACTCAAGTTCTGGAAGAAGACCAAAGTCCAGAAATGGACAAACAACCAGAACTTCCCCCCACAGTTTATAGTCTGTGAACGTGAAGAAGATGAAAAAGCAAAAAGAACTCAAAACTTCTGTAAACAGCGGAGCAAGAGGCAGGCACTTACCTTGGAAATACTAGCTTGGCTGGTAAGGAGAGTTTAGGGACATCTCGCACCAGTCCAGTTAAATGCAGTTTTTTGGCAAACAAGCCCACCTGGGATGGAAAAGACAGGGAGAAATGACAGTACAGTTTAAAATGTCTTCTTCTTCAGTTTTCGTCATCAGCCATGCAGAACATTCAGCCCCATCCGGGTCACAAACAGGGTGAAGTGTGCAATGTCTAAAGTCACTGCCGACCCCCCTTCCCCCACAGCTTCTTGCTCACTTAGGCCAAATCCTCAACTTCTGCCAAGAGTAGTTAGGGCAATTCTGCAGTATATGCTCACAAGTCTTTCTGTCTGCTCCACAATCACAGGCAGCAGATTCCTGTGTAGCTGTGCTCTAAGACCGCAGTGCCATGTCTAAAGTGTGTACTTTCTTGCTGAATTTGTTTATGTTGTGACTCTCCATATTCTGGTCTCCATTCTGCTTTCTCCACTCTTCCTTGAAGAACTGCTTTGCTTTCTTTGTAACTCTGTGGTGGATGAGGTTGTGGAAGATCACTCCCAGCTGTTGCCAGCTCATCTGCTCTTTCCTTTCCTAGAATGCAACAGTAAGCTGGTATCTACTTCAAGACCAGTTTTGCTTCACTGGAAAGCAAGCCAGTGCTGGTTCTTATATCCTCAATTAATTTGGATTCTTTCTTAATATCCTACCCAAAACAGGGGAAATCCACAGGTCATGGGAAAGTCTAATATTTCAGGGGGTGGTAAATATGCTGCATGCAGTCCTGGGATCTAGGTTGCACTCTCTCGTGGGACATAGGTGGGTTGGGGTTAGATGTTTTGTGGTCATTAAAAGCATTAGAAAGCCGGGAAACCCAGCCCTACCACTTTCTAAAATGTTGGACTGTCCTGTGACGTCATCTGGGGTAGGATATTACACACAAAAACCTTAGTTTGCCTTGGTTTTTTTTGTGTTCTTGATAAAGCTTGCAGAAGACAGTGAGTCACTGAGCATTACAATTGTTTGCCCTCTGTATTCTTGGTTGAAAATTTCTTCTTCTTCTTCTTAACCTTCACAAGCTTTAAATTCCAGAGGAAAGTTCTGGCTGTTTGTTGTTAACTTCGGGAATTTGGTCGTGTTCTAGAACTTGAATTTACATGCATATCTGTTTTACAGATCTAGCTTATTTATATACAGACTCTTGGTTCCTCGCCTCTCAGGCGGATATGCTTTGACTTTCAAGGAAACTCCCCTAATTAGTTGCCTTGTAGGACAATCCGGTCAGGTTTAACATACCAGGAATAACAATATGCCCTCACGCTTCATTAACCCTCTGCTTCATTTCCTATTTTAACCACCAAAGTGACTTTCACATACAAAGTTGGTATATTGTGTTGTGATTTAAAGTAAGGCTGCAATATCTGTGCCTTTCACCTCAGCACATCTGATTTCAGCAAATGCCTAATTGGCATTCAAAACATTTTATTTATTTGGGGGAGGGGGTCTATTTTTTCCATTAAACAACATACATTAGCTTGTTGGTATCTAGTTAAACATTCACTAAACAACATAGTGGCCAGTTACTTACTGGGTTATCTGCTGGTCGAGTTGCCACTTTGACCATGACATTAGTACTGAAGATGTAGGATGAGAAAAACACCTGTCAAGGAAGATATGACAATCGTCAGATGCAACTTGAGTTAGAGACAACGTAAGAATCTAGTGGGATGTAGAAATTCAACACAGATCTAGTTCCCCACACAAACATACCCAGAACACATCACAAACTAGGAGTCCCACACAGATCTAGCTAACAACATCGCAAACCATGAGTCCCTCACATAATTAGATATCAAAAAAACATACCCAGAACACATCACAAACTAAGAGTCCCATTACCCAGAACACATCACAAACCATGAGTCCCACACATAGCTAGCTCCCACATAAACATACCCAGATGATATAACAAACCATGAGTCTCACACATAGCTAGCACCGACATAAACACACTGAGAACATATCACAAACCATGAGTCCCACACATAGCTAGCTCCCACATAAACATACCCAGAACATATCACAAACCATGAGTCCCACACATAGCTAGCTCGAACATAAACATACCCAGATGATATAACAAACCATGAGTCCCACACATAGCTAGCTCGAACATAAACATACCCAGAAGATATAACAAACCATGAGTCCCACACATAGCTAGCTCGAACATAAACATACCCAGAACATATCACAAACCATGAGTCCCACACATAGCTAGCTAACACATAAACATACCAAGAAGATATAACAAACCATGAGTCCCACACATAGCTAGCTCCCACATAAACATACCCAGAAGATATAACAAACCATGTCCCACACATAGCTAGCTCCTACATAAACATACCCAGCCGATATAACAAACCATGAGTCCCACACATAGCTAGCTCCTACATAAACATACCCAGCCAATATAACAAACCATGAGTCCCACACATAGCTAGCTCCCACATAAACATACCCAGCCGATATAACAAACCATGAGTCCCACACATAGCTAGCTCACACATAAACATACCCAGAAGACATCATAAACAAGGAGTCCCACAAGCAGCAGTGTGGACACCTTGAGACTGGGAAGACGGACCAGGGCAATGAAGGCTACACACAATCCCATGCCTAGAGCTGCAGAAGACAGAAATCATGATATTTAACACCAGGTTCAGTTTATTCTTGTACATATACAATTCCATACGCAAAAATAAATAACCCACAAGCTGCTACTCCCCCCGCCCCCCCCCCCCCTAAAAAAACCTAGCTGCCCCCACCAATAACACAGAAGCTGTCACCACACTGATAACCTAGCTGGCTCCACCAATAACACAGAAGCTGTCACCACACAAATAACCTAGCTGCCCCCACCAACAATACAGAAGCTGTCACCACACAAATAACCTAGCTGGCTCCACCAATAACACAGAAGCTGTCACCACACAAATAACCTAGCTGCCCCCACCTATAACACAGAAGCTGTCACCACACAAATAACCTAGCTGCCCCCACTAATAATACAGAAGCTGTCAACACACAAATAACCTAGCTGGCTCCACCAATAACACAGAAGCTATCACCACACTGATAACCTAGCTGCCCCCACCAATAACACAGAAGCTGTCACCACACAAATAACATAGCTGCCCCCACCAATAACACAGAAGCTGTCACCACACAAATAACCTAGCTGCCCCCACCAATAACACAGAAGCTGTCACCACACAAATAACCTAGCTGGCTCCATCAATAACACAGAAGCTGTCACCACACTGATAACCTAGCTGCCCCCACCAATAACACAGAAGCTGTCACCACACAAATAACCTAGCTGCCCCCACCAATAACACAGAAGCGGTCACCACACAAATAACCTAGCTGCCCACAAACAAATAACTCACCATCCATGAGTAACCAGTGCCCAGTGAGAATCCAGATACAGACTATACTAAATGAGAGACAAAAGGCGAAAATCTCAGCAGCTGTGAATCTCCCACAGACACCAAATGAAATTCTGAAATCAAAGATGACAGAAACCATGGTTATACAGTCAGTACTAATCTAATATGCATACCGCATACATGACCAGCTCTGCTGTTTCTCTTCCCGGGACACAGAAAGGCATGCACGACAAGCAAGGGTAGGGTCTTTAGATAAGCAGGTCCCCATGATGGTACTGCCTGCAAGGTTGTCTGGCCTATGTGGGGTTCCCCCCCCCCCCCCCTATTTTTTCGTCTTTTCTAAGAGGTGACAAAACAAATGAAATAACATAAAACATGGTGATCAGTAAAGTGAAACTTTCACACAGTAATTATACTTCATTTTTTTTTAAAAAAGTAAACAAAAAACATTGTGTTAGTAAAGTGAAGCTTTCACACAGTAATTAATCTTCATTTGAAAAAAAAGGAAAGTAAACAAAAAATATGGTGAACAATAAAGTGAAGTTTTGACACAGTAATTATACATTATTTAAAAAAAAAAAAGGAAAGTAAACAAAAAACATATGCTACTAAAAGGAACATTATTTAGTCATAATTCTGACACTCAAATTGTTTTTAGTTTAATGAGTAAAACTGATCACATTTCACAAAAGAATACCTTAAAGTTCAACCAATAAATTGAGTTCTTTTGCTTCTGGGTGATCAAAAAATTTTTGGCCAATGGGCTTTCCTATCAATTAATATAAATGCACCATAACTATGCGTTTTTTTTTTCTTCAAAGAGAACAATTATCTTGTCCCCACAGAAGTCAGTACTCTATACACCAAGAATGTTGATTGATGAATGCTGAATTAAGAATTGATGACATCACAGAACATGTTACACTCCCTTAAGGGCCCCACACAGAACAAGACAGCTAAGTGTACAGAAAAAGACAGTTGAGTGAACAGAACAAGATAGTTGAGTGTACAGAAAAAGACAGTTGAGTGAACAGAACAAGACAGTTGAGTGAACAGAACAAGACAGTTGAGTGAACAGAACAAGACAGTTGAGTGAACAGAACAAGACAGTTGAGTGAACAGAACAAGACAGTTGAGTGAACAGAACAAGACAGTTGAGTGAACAGAACAAGACAGTTGAGTGAACAGAACAAGACAGTTGAGTGAACAGAACAAGACAGTTGAGTGAACAGAACAAGACAGTTGAGTGAACAGAACAAGACAGTTGAGTGAACAGAAAAAGACAGTTGAGTGAACAGAACAAGACAGCTGAGTGAACAGAACAAGACAGCTGAGTGAACAGAACAAGACAGTTGAGTGAACAGAACAAGACAGTTGAGTGAACAGAACAAGACAGTTTAGTGAACAGAACAAGACATTTGAGTGAATGTAGCAAGACAGTTGAGTGTACAGAACAAGACAGTTGAGTGAACAGAACAAGACAGTTGAGTGTACAGAACATGTGAACAATCAGAGCAGACATGAAGGAAATCACAATACCTGATTTATAAACAAAAAGAGCACATTTACACAAATATATAAACACAACAGATATGAAAAAAAACAAAGGAAATACAAACGCAGACAGATATATGAAAACAGATAAGAACACACACACAGATATATAAACACAACTGATATGAAAACATACACACACACACACACACACACACAAACACACACACACACAGATATAAAAACACAACAGACAGGAAAACACACACACAAAACAAACACACAGACAGATACATGAACAAACTCAACAGCAGTCAAACTTACTTCTGGCCACTTGAGCATGGCTGTACAAAATACTGGCACATGGGAAGCAGCAGGAAGGCAAAAGCCACTGTGGCAAGTACTGAGGGGAGATGTAACAGTACATGTATGACACTCCACATTTATGACTTTTTCCCCCCCAACATTGTGATCATGTGTGTGTGTCTGCACGTGTGTGTGTTTGCATATGTGTGTGTGCATGCGTGTGTCTGTGTGAGCGTGTCTGCATATGTGTGTGTGTGTGCGCATGCACACCCACCTGTCTGCACACACTCATAAAAATAAAATCTCTCTTTCTCTCTCCCTGATTGTGTCTGTACCAAACAAACATAAGCAACATCTCACAAACTGACAGCGGTCGTGGAGGTGGTGGTGGTAGTAGTAGAGGTTTTAACTTCACTGCAATCGGGTCAACCCATACTTGCTCTGTTCCTGTACCAGTGAAAATAACATGTCCCTCGCATTCCCATTTGAAAAAAAAGTGAACAAACAAATAGTCTCAGCACAATCCAGAAATATGCGCACACAGTAAATGCCTAAGGCAGTTGCTAGAGGTGCCAAAGCCAACAGCCACCACCAGAAAAGCATTCTGTCATAGAAGAAAGTAGTCAGTCACGATAAGTTGGCTATACATGTGCAGAATTATTACATAAGGTATTTCGCCAGCCAACATGTAAATCGGCTATCAGCCATAATGAAGCTGCTGCACTGTCAAGATATGGCAGTGGTACACCACGGAAAACCACTCTAGTGCGTGGGACATAGCTTGCTCCGACACATCGTACATACCTATCGGCAGTACATGTAAACAAACGTCATAATATACACGCAAGTGCAGTACAACGAAAGATCAGATTAGCGTCTAAGATATGAGACACTAATAACGTCAATGCACATACCGTCGGGGAATTCCCGAGTGCCGCAAACTAGAAAGGAGCACAGGGATAGCGTCATTAGCAACGATCCTCATGATGATGTGCGCACCTAGACCCGATTCGGAGACGTCATGCCCATGGGAGCTAGTTCCGGGGGAAAATCTCACTTCTGTCCTCTTCAACTCTAGCCGTCGTGAACGAAGCACGATTTTCGGAGATTTGTAGTCTTTAACATCTGACACAATCTCGCGAGGTTAAGAGTGTATTTCATTCAGACGAGGGGGGTAAGAGATCCTAGAGCTCTATGTGGCCTTTTGTACAAGTGTTATCCTTATTTTGTACATGTACATGTACATGTACATGTATGTTAAAAAGCATTGAAAAGTGTATATTTTGGTTCAGTGCTACCATTTTCGATATTTCCTTTTGGGCGCAAGTGCTTAGATTTGGGGGAATTATTTGATTGATATTCTTGAGTGGATATTCTTAAGAGTACCCAGGGTAATTGGGGAAATAATGGATCTGTGTAAAATGATTTAGATTTAGGGGAATTATTTGATTGATTTTCTGGAATTGATTTTCTTAAGAATACCCAGGGTAATTGGGGAAATGATGGATCTTTGGAAGATGATTTAGATTAGGATAATTATTTTCTTTCTACTTAAGTAATTTATATTACTAAGGGTACCCAGGGTAATTGGGGAATTAATGAATATGGAGAATGATGTATGCCCATAAACTTGGGAATGTATTTAACCACGTGGTTGGTTAGCACGTGATAATGTGTGACTGTAGTACACCACATGGGTGGAACCATAATATGTGAATATATTAAACCACATGGTGGGATGATAATTTGTGAATGTCTCAAACCACATGGTGGAAACTATAATTTGTAAATGCATTAAACCACTTGGGTGGGAACTATAGTTTGTGAATGAATTAACCCACATGAGTGAAATTATAATTGGTGAATGTACTAACCCAAATGGTGGGATTGTAATGTCTGAAGCCTTAAACTACATGAGTGGGAGTTTAACTTGGAAAGATTTAAATGGATTGAACCCCATTGAGGGGGAGTGAAAATATATATATATGGGTGTGTGTGGGTGTATGTATAAATTTGAATTGTCATGATTGTCATAACCAGGGCGGGACTGCTTAACCCAGTCACCTGGTTAATGAAAATAAAATATAAAATGAGATTCACATATGAAGCGATGGGACAACTCAAATGAATAGAGTTGTCAGAAGCTGAGCTGAATGGAGTTAGTTAAGTATTATGGATAGTAGCCAGGCATTTTAGAGGCACACTCTCACAAGCGGTTGTTTTTGCTCTTGTCTCGTTCCAGCCCGGCTGTGCCACGACATAACCACAACAAAGAAAGTTCTACATTGGTATTACTGTAAGCCACTGGATGGCAAGTTGTGTTATGAACATTATTAATTATTAACCACTAAGGGCTTTGACCCATATTTTTACTATTGGCATCCAAGCCTTGAGGGAAGAATTCCCATTCGTGAGGAGCAACCAGACGGGAGACCGAATCACCAAAGACTTCATCTACAAGATGCATCAGGTGACTGTGTTGCCCCACGAGCCTGAATCTGCCTTTCAAAACTAACTCCTCACCGAGGGAGAAATACTGTATTGTGCCAATCACCTACTAGAATTATAACTATTACATTGTATGATTGTTACCTGTTTACCCACCTCGTCTAGTTTTTGTATACTACGGTGAGAGTGGGCTTGGAGAGAAAGAGTGTGAAAGATACCTTTCTCATCCTTTCCCTACGTATCTTTCTGGGGGCTCATATATCTACTGACAGGAGGGTGTGCGACAGAATATCTAGACTAGCCTGAAGCTTCCTACATCCAGAGCTAGTCTTACCTTTCTGACTCCTGTCACATGACCACGTCACAGTCTCTTATACTACACAGGGCCATCCCCCTAGTTTTCATAACTTCACGAGCCAACATTTCTTGAGACTGCGGACGCTGGCATGCTGTAGGGAAGTCTTAATATTATAGACCTCTCTATTATATCTGCATATCGCCACATGCACAAATGAAAGGCATTCCCCAATACACAGCTCACAATGTTGTACCAAGCACTTAATTCAGTAGCTTAGGCAGCGAAACTATGGACTTTCGTCCATATTTTGAAATTCCATAATCAAAGCGCTGTCAGAAGCTAAAATAACCCTAAAGCTAAACATTCTGCCATACCTATACTGGGCCGAAAGTAGACACTCTGAATGTCACACACTCTCAACGTCCGCCCACAACTTTCAAGCAAAAGCTCCTCCTATCACACTGTACAACTCAACAATCAACATTGTCCGCACGCACACTGACCGGGCCCTCCTAAACTACCAAAGAAGAGCCATGAGATACTCACTAGCTGTAAAGACAGCGAACACCACCTGCAGCGAGTCAAAGAAGAGAAACATCACCAGCAGGGAGATGGAAGCTCCGACAGGCAGAAACATGGCCTGGCAGGAATCCAGCGTCTGCAGCTCTGTCCAACAAAACACAGAATCAGCTTCTAGTTGTGAGAAGAGCATAATGTGTCAGGCAGGCGCGCCAACACAGATGTTACAATGGGAGAATGGGAGGAGGGTGCTTCCCTTTCTAGTATTACAAAGTTTCCCTCTCCTGGGGCATAATACTAGTTTAGGAACATAATAAATATCACAATAAATTATAAACTGAATGGTAAATTAATATATTAAGCTAATTAAAAAAAGACCCTTTTCCAAATCTCAAGTCGTACTAGGCATATAGTGCTGGCCTTATAATTTATATACCAATCGGCATTTGGTGGGTAATGTGAACAACATCACACCAACCACCTTTAGTTCTCAGGACTTTACCTCTTAACTATTTAAATCTGGGTCGAACTGGAAGCCAGAATCATTTTATTTAAATATACTAATGTATCTTGAATAATATGAAAACTAAAAACAAATACTTTTAAAGAGAATTTATATAGACAGTTGGGGGGGAGAACCATCCAGCATATATTTTCCTCTCTGCCTTTTTCCCCCCATCAATTTTGCCAGCTGTTACTAAGTCCTTGAGTCTATTCCTTCTCACAACATGCCATAATTAGCTCACCAATTGCAACCACTCATGAGATTATAAACACCCAGGTAAGTGGGAAAAAAAAAAGTAAAGGTCCCGTTTCAACGCAGTTGGGCATATAGGGCGTATAGGGCAAGACCTATATTTTTATAGACCAATCAGCACAAGATGGGTGATGTGGTCAGCATCAAGCTGGCCGCCTTTACTTCCCGGGACTGCAACCAGACCCACTTAAGGCTGAGTCAACCTGGGAGTCAAGGTCTTTTTTTAAAAAATCCAGCTCCGCCAGGGAGCAACCCACGACCTTACGATCCGCACATGAGCATCTAGCCGCTGCATCACGGCGAATTTCAAACACCCATGTAGTGTACGCATCTCCCTTGAGCCCACCAGCAGGATATCTGGCATAGATTTTGACAATTGCATGAGAGTACTCTGCTAGTCCCAGGCAGGCTGGATTCAGCACGCAGGCTACCAGATGAATAGCAGGGACCTAGTACAACAGCTAGTAGATGCTGAGGTTTGCTTGTGATGTCCTGAAGAGGATACACAACAAACATGTTCTTCTTCTCTGTTGTTCGCCTGAGTGACGTAAATATGTTTGTGTCTGTTTTACAGCATAGCGGCAAAATGTGTACCTTTCAGCCAATACACCCGACTCAACTAAAATGTAATGTTATACAGCTGTCAGTCAGATTTCAAATACTGCACACACACACACACACACACGAAAGCATGCATCCAAGCACACATACATGTATACATACATACACAACATACACAGTATCTTCTTTTTCAGTGATCAACGTTTGCTATATGAATATTTCTATTTCAGTAACGGTCACAAACTGAAGAATGTGCTTCCGGCCTTTATCGGTGCCCCAGTTTGTCCTGTAGGGTCACTCCTGTGGGTGAGATCTGGCTAGGACAGTGAGGTCAGAGTTCAGGGAAACAAACACTTACGCGTCTCTCCATCAGCAGAAGCAGCTCCTGCTAGGCCAAACTTCTCCTTCTCTTTTTCATCTTTCTCCTTTTCCCTCTCTCGCTCTATATTCAAAGACCTGAAACAGAGATGACGGTGTTTATGAGTGAAGGCAAGTGCCAGAGCTAATGGAAATCTCCAGCACATATAAGACAATATCAATAATCTGATTTTCACCTAGATCTCTTCTTCCTCTTGTAAACTCAAGCAGAAAGTCTGGGCTGTTCATCCACTTCTGGACTTTGGTCTGTTTCAGGACTTCAGTGCTGTGTACACACAGATTCTACTTCTTCTTCATCACGTTCACTGGCTGTAAACTCCTGCGAAAAGTTCTGGTTGTTCACCCACTTCTGAAATTTAGTCTTGTTCCAGAACCTGAGTTTTGCATGGACATCCATTTTACAGAACTGGCTTATCTGTATGCAGACTGTTGGTTCTGGGCCTCTCAGGCAGATGCATTCCAACTCTGCAAGAGTGGTGCAGATAGGGCTAGAGCAGTTTGTATCCTGGTCCTGTCACACCATGCGTGGCTTGGCACCCCCTACATTCCGCTTACATGAATGATATGACATATTCCAAATGATTAGGAGGTGAGGAAAAGACACTGGCGTTGAATAAGACAGATATAACCTAATAACAATATTATTATAATTTTCTTGCATTGGAAGCTACAGGGTCACAGGAATCAGGACAGCCCAAACAATACATGAAGAAGAAAGGAATCTGACTTTTACTTGACAACATGGCAAAAGTTGGTTGAGGACCTATGCTCCATTGGGGGGATAAATCAGAAGTAGAATGATCCACAAAGCAGAAGTGTTGTACAACTGAAGAACAGCTAACCATATAGGCTCCGGGGCCCATATTTGCTTGTGGTGGGGGGGGGGGGGGGGGGGGAGATAAGGTTTTCAAGCATAACAAATATGTTCGACGCAAAGAATCAACTTCTATGGTGGGCATAAAATATATTAAGTAGGTATTTGCTAACTTAGAATTTTCGGCTAAAAATCTTGAGGTCGACTTGTACCCCAATCTGCAGTAAACAGAGCAGAGCAATAAGATACACTTAATATGAAGGAAAGTCAATAAGTAAGTCACAAATGGTAGGGGATGGCAAGAAAATGTAGTTGGTGGTTTCCAAAGGTGTCATTAGGTGTCAATCGCAACCCAGAAACAAAAATGGCAGATGTATGTATGGAGTGTACACTCTAAGAAAAACATGGTTTCAGCGGAAGGGTTAAAGAGCTGCCTGCAAAGAGCATTCATTAAGAAAATGCTTAATGTTTATAACGACGAATGTTTATCACGTAAAGCTAGGTTAAAAAAAAAAAATTCTCAAAGAAGAAAGCGTCCAGGTCTGCTGACTAGAGCAGTACTGCTCCATCATGACAACGCTAGACCAAATATAGATCTGTTACCTCAAGAGAAAATAAACCATCTAGGGTGGGATCTTCTGGAACATCCATCTTACAGAGCCCCTAGAAATGTCCATCTTTTTGGTCCATTGAAACCCACCTTGACAGGAGACATTTAACCAATGAAGCAGAAGTTGAAATTGAAGTGAAAGTGTGGTTTAGAAAACAGAGCATGCACTTCTATGCAGCAGGTTTGGAAGGACTGATAAAATGATGAGATAAGTGCATCAATGTTGGTGGAAATTAGGTTCAAAAATAAAGGGAAGTTAAAAAATAAAAGGACAGTGTATGTGTAAGCCGTTATCTTCTTTAGTTGTTTTTTACAACAAGCATTTGGGACTTAATGACTTCCTTTTGTATACCAGATAAAACAGATCTGGGTGACAAGAGAGAAAGAAGCACACACACCAAAACCTGTAACAGACAAACCTACCTAAAGCTGCCATAGACGATGAGTAGAATGGAGATGATGAATGTGGAAATGCGAGAAGAGTCCACTATAGTCAGTGCCCTGCAATCAGAAGATACATCGCAATTAGAGGACCGCCAAAATTAAACACAAATCACAAGGGCATATAAGACCACCTCTGACGTCTCCATCCAATGCCCTGAAAACAAAAGATACATGGCAATTAGAGGACCACCAAAATTAAACACAAATCACAAGGGCATATATAAAATACAAGACCACATCTGACCTTTATCCAATGCCCTGAAAACAAAAGATACATGGTAATTAGAGGACCACAAACACAAATCACAAGGGCATATAAGACCACCTCTGACTTCTCCATCCAATGCCCTGAAAACAAAAGATACATGGCAATTAGAGGACCACCAAAATTAAACATAAATCACAAGGGCATATAAGACCACCTCTGACCTCTCCATCCAATGCCCTGAAAACAAAAGATACATGGCAATTAGAGGACCACCAAAATTAAACACAAATCACAAGGGCATATAAGACCACCTCTGACCTCCATCCAATGCCCTGAAAACAAAAGATACATGGCAATTAGAGGACCACCAAAATTAAACATAAATCACAAGGGCATATAAGACCACCTCTGACCTCTCCATCCAATGCCCTGAAAACAAAAGATACATGGCAATTAGAGGACCACCAAAATTAAACACAAATCACAAGGGCATATAAGACCACCTCTGACCTCCATCCAATGCCCTGAAAAAAAAAAAGATATGTGGCATTTAGAGGACCACCAATACAAAATGAAAAATACAGGTATTCGAGACAATTGCAGATATTTCCAGTCAATGTGCTGCAACTGTGAAAACATCAGTTACATCAGATCAACTGTTGCACATGCAATTAATGTAAAAGGTAACCATCAGAAGTGCCAGCCCAGCATAAACATTCTGACACTAAAAATGCAACTCATCATCGGTGGAAGCAGCAGTTACATCAGATCAACTGATGCACATGCAACTGATCACAGACCGCACCATCAGTTGTCTGGTAACAGATCACTCATTATTTCCTTTATCTGCAGTTCCCAACACAAACCATATTGGATACGGTCATAAAGCATTCCAAATGAAATCCGCAAATCAAATTGTCGTAGCACACACTGAACTCAGTAGCTGGGTGACGGACCTATATCCTTTCAGTCTAAATAATGGAGGAAATGCAACGACTAACTATTGTCAGAACCCCACCCCCCCTTTTTACACACACAAACACACCCACCCATACACACACACCCACAAACTTGGCATGACTAAAAAACAGTAATCCTGCGAATAACCACATTAATGAAACAGACCACATTACAGCCTGTATTCCAGTTCTGATGCAATCACACACAAAAACACACTTACGAGATGGTTGCTGTCTCCGTAATTTGTTCCTCTGGCATGTCTTCAGGCAACACTCACAGGCAAACCTGAGAGAAAAAAACAAGACCACAGATGAAGCAATTTATCTTTTCTCTCTCTGCAAAACTGCTAGCCCCATGCACAGAGCATGAACTCCGCAGCTCCGGCTACAATCCCCAGGTGTCTCCGTAAAAACTACACTTGTAAAGTGAGCGGCAAAGCTGTGAAACAAACCCATGACCTTCAGAGGGTGAGGCAAACAGCTTGACCACTTGGCCACGGAGACCCCCTGCACAGCTTAAGTTCCCAATCATGCATTGTGTTATTCGATATTTATATTGTGTGTATACTGATGCAAATATAACATGCCAGAATAGATAAAATTCACAATTTGTTGGTGAAAGACAAGTATGGAGGTGGGCCTGCACACCCGATTTATGACCCTTTACATTCCCTGTATGGCGGCGTCCGTGGCTTAGGCGTTGCGAGTCTGACTCGTAATTCCAACGTTACCGCAATCAAAACCTACTGCTGGCTGTGTGGATTGTTATCTTGGTATGAAGCGTTGCATGGTCGACCGAGCCTAACAAAATGGGTACCAGGATGTAAGTCCAGGGGAAGTAAAGACTGATGGCATAATGCTGACCACATTACCCACCTAGTGCCGATTAGTCTGTAAAAAAAAATGGGTGCTCCTCTCATATGCCCGATGTGCCTATCTCCCTATATGGACTTTGGGATGTGGGAGGGAAAGGGGGGGGGGGGGGGCAGATCCACTGTCCCACTAAAAAGCATGTTGTAAAAGGCAACTTATGAAGGGTTTTTCTTTAGAAATAGAAGTAAATCTGCCTGAGAGGCAAGTAACCAACAGTCTGCATACAATTAAACCAGATCTGTAAAAACTGATGTGCATGCAAAACTCAAGTCCGGGAACAAGACTATGATCCATACCCCCCTCCATAGACCCCCCCCCCCCCACAGGACTGCAGGTGTAACCACGCTGGTGTTGCCATGACAGGGGCCTTAATTAAACTTCTCCAGAGGTTGAACAAGATATCTTGAATCTACCCTGTTGGTCTGCCATCATGACTGAGATACTGTTTGTGGTCTCAGGGTGTCAAACCTCAAGATCGCAGCAGCCCAGATGGAAAAAAAAAAGCAACATGCATGCACAAGACTGAAGTCCAGCAGCTGACAAACAACCACAACTTTCCACCAGAGCTTACAGTAAGACAATAAGAAGACCCTTTATAAATAAAGTTTTTTTTTTTTATTTCTCACACCTCCATTCATGACTCACATAAGAAATGGTATTCTCACATCCACAGCTGTATAAATTACAGACATTCTGACACACGACACACACACAGATGCTGACAACACAACTGGTGTGGTTAAGCTACAATATCAGTATCTTCCTCCAGCACTGCGTGGATTTACTGATGGCTGGCCGGGCTAGTCAGATCAATGGATTCATACAAATCACAGCTCTAATCTTAGCATTCTAATCCCCTAGTGAGGCCAGATTTATCAGCGACTGTGACAGCTGCTCTGGTGCAGCAGTCCTAGATAATTATATTTGTGCCATTAATTCCCTTAATCACTTCAGGTAACCATGTTGGGGAAGATTAACTCTTTGCAACAGACAAAAGAAATTGTCTCGACGACCGCTGGAATCATTAAGTGTATGACCCCCCCCCCCCCCCCAAAAAAAACGGTAATTTATTAGGCACATCATGAGCAGAAACAGACAAAGAATCACACACAAAAGCACTGAAGTGGGAAGCAAATGGAATGAGATGAACATTGAGGAGAGAGGCCTAGG